ATTTGTACCAGATCTATATCTTCTGTTTGAACAGTTGATAAAACCTTTTGAACCAATATGCATGCGTTGTTCGTCTTAAAACATTGGTTATGGCATTTTAACAAAAAAATGACAGCAGAAAGTTAGGTTATGGTGAAGTTGTATACCAACATATTTAGCATATGTACAGCTTTTAACAGTTACTAAGGCCCGTATCGTCAGTCGTCCCTACAATTGTAGGGCGCCTTTATGGCCTCCTTGATTGTCATAGTTTTCTACTTCTCCGTGTCAGCGCTCTATTATGAGGTTATGTCACAAACATCTATTTGCATCAAATTGTGCTTGCTTTTGAGTTATATCATGTTTCATCAGCCTGAAACTTCCTACAATTTAAAAAGAAAACATATCTTTACAATAGGAGAGCGCTGACGCTGATACGGGACAAGTGTAATCTAGAAATTTTTGAAGGAGAGAAAGCAGTATAACAATCAAGGAGGCCATAAACGCGCCCTACAATTGTAGGGACGACTGACGATACGGGCCTAAACAACAGTTGTATAAGTGGTTCCGTTGGGAGCCTAAATAGTAAATTGCACAGCAAAACAACAAGGCTCGGGTTTGTTTTATAAACTTTACCGTGGATGCCACAACACAACCATTTTGACTAACGTGCAAATATGCCGTATAAAATAGTTGTATAAACGTTTATGCAACAGTTAAAAATTTGCCCTATAAGGTGTTGTATAGCTATGCTATAAGAATATTTTAAACTCCTCATTTTTTAGCAAATATGTTGCAGAAAGCAAATTTGCATTCCACACAACATTAAGCCAGCATTTTGGTGTTCAGGCAACAACAATAGAGAGCTTTTATGGCTGAACGGTTCTTTTACCCAAAGCTTATACCACTACTTTGCTAGTTGGGATGACTCTTCACTTCCGACACAGGCGTCTCTGAAACGTTGTAACACTATGTTCCTGAGATTTTATTTCCGCCACATCTGAATCAATTTTCACTATCTACGACTACCTGTATGATGGAAGTATTAAACTCGCGATAATATTCTTACTTAGGTCCACAAGTTTTCTGTTGCGTAAATATATCTACAAGTCCGTGTTTCTCGTATGTCAGTTTCTCAGCCCGTGTTTGTTGTATAACAATGCGTCATAGATACTGAGCCAGTTTACTTGACGAAATATACAGAGAACCATCATAGACGGAATGACACAATTAAGGGTTAGGCGAAATAGGTGGAACATTTAAGATCCATCTCCAAGCGAATTGTCAAAGAAATCAACTAGGCCACGAGTACTTTTAGATGGAAATTATTGTTCTTTTATTCAAATATAGTTCAGCTGCCCTACAATAGGGATTTCTAGAGTGTGGAGATAAGATGATTCGGCTAGTTTTTTTTTCATTTTAGCGTTGCTGCGCCGCCACTGTATCGATTTTTAAAAAGTAAAAAGTTTCTTCGTTCGTTTTATTAGACCGAATAATTTTATGTCAGACCAACAGTCAGCTGCAGGCACACACAATAAAATACGTAATATCTCATTTTTCGGGTTTACAATACTCGCCAGTTGGAGCGGGAAGTAAAACATGTAATAGACAATGTTTTCATTTGAAATTCAATCACGACCTTTTTGAGCTAATGTTTATGTGTACTTAAAAATCAAATTATAGTCTCCTATTCAGCTTACATTAAAAATACTGAGGATAGGATCAATAAGGATCCCACTAATTTTTGGTCATTTGTAAATGCAAAAAAGAAAAACTCTAGAATTCCAGGGAACATGATGTTTAATGACAACACTTGTACCTCATCACAGGACATAGTCGATGCTTTTGCAAAAATTTTTTCAACTGTGTGTTATAAATTCTGATTCTTCTAATTCTGAGTTCATGACTTCAAATCTAACTGGTATGAATATATCTCTGAACACTGTAAGTGAAGCGGATATAGTGGATACCAAATAAAACCCGATGCACGTCATAGGTGATGTCATTCATAAAAATCATGGTTACCAACATTTGACTACATTCAATGTGACATTTCTACTTGAAGTTTAAATTTCCCCGTCTCGATTCGGTTGGTAGTGCCGTGCAGAGAAATGTGAGGTTGCCACTTCTCATTTGTTGACATCAGTTGCCATTGTCCTTTTGTCGTACTATTAGTTCTTTATTGTTTAGTTTGCGAGTTTTGCGCTATTTGAGCTTTGAATCGTTGCCTTGCCAATTAAAAATTGTTCTTTTCAGACCAACAGTTACTGTGAAGTGGTGTAAAGTATCCAAAATGCCAACAAATTCTGGCAACAGCGCACAGCTTCAGATCGATGACGTGCATCGGGTTTTATTTGGTATCCACTTTATAATTCATGCTTCCAGAAAGTTAAAGAATAAAATGACTTCAGGCTATAATGGTGTGCCTAGTTTTTTAATAAAGGATTGTATTCATGTATTGGCAAAACCGCTTTGCATGATCTACAATATGATGTTATTAACATGCTCTTACCCTCGTATCTGGAAAATGACCAAGGTATGTCCTGTCTTTAAAAGTGGCGATAGAAGTAATATTTGTAACTATAGGCAGATTGCGATACTTTGCAATTTTGGTAAGATTTTTGAGGTTATTATTTATAATACCATTTTCAACTTTGTCAAATGTACTTTATCTCCTAACCAGCATGGTTTTGTTGCTGGCAGATCAACAGTCACAAATCTGACATGCCTGACTCAAACTATCTCTGAGGTATTAGATGACCAGGGTCAGTTGGATGTCATTCAAAAGGCATTTGATCAGATAGATCATTACTTGCTTCTTTCTAAGCTTGAAATGATTGGGTAGTTTAAATCTTTATTGAAGTTGATCAGATCACATTTATTTGATAGAAATCTGTACATCGAGTTTGGTGGTTTTAAATCTAGTTCTTATACAGCAACATCTGGAGTGCCCCAAGGATCCAATTTGGGTCCTTTGTTTTTTGTATTGTTTATCAGTGATCTGTCGCTGGAATTGCCTGGTATGCATTTACTTTATGCTGATTACTTAAAAATTTATACTGCTATTCAGAGCTATCACGACTGTATCTCTCTTCAAAACAGCTTGAACTTGGTGCATTCTTGGTGTTCCAGAAACTCTCTTACGATTAATGTATCAAAGTGTAAAGTTATGTCTTTTAGTAGGAAGCAAAATGTAATACTATATAATAATATTATGATTATAGTATCAATGATCACTTACTCGAAAGAACAGAAACGTTCAAAGATTTGGGTGTTGTATTCGATGCCAAGCTGACATTTAAGGATCACATCACTCAAATGGTAAATTCAGCGTTTAAGATGCTAGGCTTTTTTTAAGGAATTGGTCAGGGTTTTCAGACATATCAACTCTAACGCTTTTATTTTTTACATTTATTAGAAGTAAGCTGGAATACGCTTCATTAATTTGGTCTCCAATCTACAACAATTCAAGGGTTAGTATTGAATATGTGCAGCGTAAGGCTTTAAAGTATTTGTATTACAAATGTTATGGCAATTATCCTGAAAGAGCTTTCGACCATTCTATTTTATTAAACATTTTTGATATAGTCATTGCATCTTAGACGCGACATATCAGGGCTACATATTTTGTACAAAATCATATACAATCAAGTTGATTGTTGATTCATATTAAGTAAGCTTAATTTTCGTGTGCCTAGGTTGGGAAATCGTGCTCAAATTACTTTCTATCCGGTTATTGGTAATTCTAATTTATTGTCTAGATCTCCGCTAAATATGATTTGTAGATGTTTCAATTCTGTTTGCAGTTCCTGTGACTTATTTTTTGATAGTGAGAACTTTGTTGTGAAGTGCTACAGAGACTGGTACCTTTGTCAGTGAGAGTTTGTTTTTTCTTTTTTTAAGTCTTTTTTTGTGTTTGGCGTTACCGCTGTTGCTAATTATGTAACTTATTCTTGTATTTTTTTTGTAATTGGGCGTCACCTGTTGGGAATAAATAAATAAAAAATAAAAATAAAAAATAAAGAATAAAAAATAAATAATAAAAAATAAAAAATAAAAATAAAAAATGAAAAATAAAAATAAAAAATAAAAAATAAAAAATAAAAAATAAAAAATAAAAAAATGAAAAATAAAAAATAAAAAATAAAAAAATAAAATGAAAAATTAAAAATAAAAAATAAAAAATGAAAATAAAAAATAAAAAATAAAAAATAAAAAATAAAAAATAAAAAATAAAAATAAAAAATAAAAAATAAACAAAACAAAAATAAAAATAAATATAAAAAATAAAAATAAAAATAAAAAATGAAAATTAAAAATTAAAATTAAAAATTAAAATTAAAAATAAAAATAAAACTAGAAAATGAAAAATAAAAAATAAAAAATAAAAATAAAAAATAAAAAGTAGAAAAAAAAATAAAAAATAAAAATAAAAAAAAATAAAAAAGAAAAATAAAAAATAAAAAATAAAAAATAAAAAATAAAAAATAAAAAATAAAAAATAAATAAAAAATAAAAAATAAAAATTAAAAATAAAAAATAAAAAATAAAAAATAAAAAATAAAAAATAAAAAATAAAAATAAAAAATAAAAAATAAAAAAAAAAATAAAAAATAAAAAAATAGAAAATAGAAAATAAAAAATATAAAATAAAAATAAAAAATAAAAAATAAAAAATAAAAAATAAAAAATGAAAAATAAAAAATAAAAAATAAAAATAAAAAATAAAAAATAAAAATAAAAAAATAAAAAATAAAAAATAAAAATAAAAAATAAAAATAAAAAATAAAAAATAAAAAATAAAAAATAAAAAAAATAAAAATAAAAAAAAAAAAATAAAAAATAAAAAAAAATAAAAACAAAAAATAAAACCCCCCTCACAAATCTAAAAACTAAAAATAACCCCTAAACACAATAAAACATCTATCTAATATGAAACTATTAAAATAAAGTGTTTTTCCTGGATATCTGCATTATCCTGGTTTGGTCTGTTTTTCTAGCCCCCGTCAATGTATTACGTAAGTTTATCTAGATCAGCCAACTGATAAAACTCATTAATTTATACTATTTAATTTTCAAACATTTTTGTTTTGACAGCGTCAAAGCATCTCCATTTTGTGGGAACGTAGAACGGTTCGTAAACGTGGGGGAACGGAGTGTCGAATCCAGTCACTCTAGTTACTGGTGCTAACCAAGTGGAAAAAGCATTCCTCCTGAAAAAAACACAACATTTTGACATAGAACCTCTTGCCTCTTAGTATTAGTAGTGGTGGTGGTTGGAAGGCAAAGCTTGCCGGCCAGGCCACCTTTGAACCTTTTAGTACGCCTCCATAGTATCAACAATGTAGTAACGTATGTCCTAAAAGTTTTGGCACAAAATTCATTGGCTTTAACTTTAAACAATTTTAAGTAACATAAAATTGCTTTTGGAAACAAAAGTTTGTTTACTCACTTTACTGTCAGTTGTCACTTATTTAATAATAATAATAATTACAAACGAATTACTGTTTTATTCGTCGCCATTTTCAATGATTTAAACTAGAAATCTAACAATTTTCAGCAACTTTTTATGCGTGTGACAACAGAAGGATTCATACTAAAGTGACAATAGGTAACAAACAATCGCTATCGATTAACAACATCCATGGCAATGTGCGATATACAGCAACCGCAGTGCAAAAATAAATTTCTTCTATAAGAAAAAAAAATCCGATAAATATTTTGTGCCAAAACTTTTAGGACATATGTACGTTACTCCACGAGCCATGTATTGGTAACTGATTTATTGAATAAACCAGCTCCAGCGATACGATGTACCTATGTTGATCTTGCACCGATCTGGTGCATTCCTGCAGTGAAGTACAGTATGCCAGTTATATCAATTACGTTCTAAAATTTAGAAAGGGATATTACCGGGGGGCCACAGGAACATATTTTCTGCCCCCACACAGACGTGGTAAGTCATTTTTGGGTAATACGTTGGAAGGTCCACCCGATTTTCATAGAAGGAATTAAATCAAAGAAAGACTGGAAATACGCTACAGAGAATTCTGAAATTCACACTATTCATACGAAGTCGAAGCAGAGGACTTGTATCGTCAAAATGTTGGAGGTCATATTCTCTTTTTGCACTTACAGCGCTTTGAATAAACATCTCTGACTTGGTAAGTTACATCGCATGGAAAGTACATTTGCCGAAATTTATCATAAAGTGAAGACATATAAATTCCTGTAAATTCCTGTCGGACAAGGTAATAAATCTGAAAACATATATCCAAAGAATAGCATATCTGTTGGAGAGAATAAAAGCAGGTAGGTGTGTTTTGTTTTTTCGAGAGGGTCATTTTGATAGATGTGTTCTCTGTGAAAGTACCCAGACGATACAATGAAAATAAAAGAGTTTGAACAGGTGCATATATTTTAAGTGATTGTATAAAGCCTTGATGTCATACACAAGTTAAAGACCGACATCAAGTCACGTGGTTTTTGGTTAGAGTCTGTTATAAAATAGACCGAAATTGCCCCATTAAAAAACCTTCAATTCCTACCGGCTGGAGGTGTTTGAGCACATAGATGCATTTACTTAGGTAAAGCTTCCAAACGACATTTTTCAGTTCCGCCTTAATAATTTTATGTATAGCATTGTGTAAGTCACATAACACAAACAAAATACTGCCGCACGGGTATTACGTATCTTGAAAAGCGATATTTTATCTTTCTTTGGCATTTCGTACGTTTTTTTTGTGACATAACGTCTACAAGATGTTAACTTAGCACAAGCTGTTGTATACTTTTTGTGAACTCGTTTTGTAGCTGAACGTGTTGCTCAACCGTCAGCGATCAGCGATCATAGCGAGAATACGTGGAATTGACTATTGAGACACTAAAAACTACCTAGTTAGCATTCTTTCGTTTTTTTATATTTTTTTAGGTTCCTACATAATAGTCCTTCCGGAGTGAGAAACGCAAGGTCCGGTGTTCTCTCGTCAAAGAGATGATATAGATATCAGATGTCTCAAGATCTGTCAGTTATCGGAAGATATTGACCTCTACTGATCTTCAACTGTAACAAAAATAACTAACTATACCTTCGAACAAATGATTTACCGTTGTTTCCATTTTTTTACGGCTACGTGGACTCTTGGCAGAATTTTTGTACACAATGCTGAATTATACATGTTAGTGCAGGTAAATTATGCAGCGCTACAAGGTTAAGACAATTAAGTATCTACTTAAATGTTCCTGTTTATTTATTCATAGGCATTGCTCAAGAGTGCATACGTACTTTTTACCAATCACGTACTTAGCCTCTTAATACAACAAATAATATTCCCAAATTTCAACAGAATCGAATCAATACTTTGTGTGTTAGTAAAAGAAATTAAATTTATCACCCTGTATCTCAAAAACTAGGTATGCATTTTTTTCATATTTTTTAACAAGGAATCATCCTCTAAAATATCTCCGTCTATTTTTCGAATACCCTGTATACAAACTATTCGTGATAGAAACAGAAGACATCAACTACTTAAGTATTGTAACTCATAGAAAATTATAATAGCAATAATTATTCATGTTTGGGATACCAACATTGTGTCAAGGAGCATTATCATCTCATCATCACTGAGATTGAAAATAGGTATTATTCCTGACACACAAACCATTATCCATTTGAGCAATACTCATAAGCAAATATGGTTTCATCAGGAGGGCGATGCCTGTACATAGATCAGTTGTACGTGGGGATGTGTTATAGTACAAGAATCACAAAAAAATTGAAACAAACTCATGGAAAAATTATCTATATAAATCATATACGGGAGATGGTCAATTTTCATGAATGGTATATGTTCAATAATATAGTGTCTTTCTATTGAGCGTATCCATTTTAGTAAGTTCTTTTTAAAATTTTGAGTATAACGAAATTGTTTTAGATCTTTGGTATATATTCACATAATTTGAGAACCAAATAGAGATCGCTTCATCATGGTCTTGCGAGTTTTAGGGACAGTTTTTGTATCGCAGTTGCTTCGTGATAATGGGTGAAAGTTTATAATCAATATAATAAATTTGCTTAATATGAAAATGTTCCATCATTTTTTTAATACAATTTCGGTTTTCCAAACAAACATTTGAAAATAGTCCTTCTATATATTTAAACAAGCTGGACAAGCTGAAGTCCACGCTAATACGTCATAGGGTGGCTCAATTAAGGCATGATATGCTGTGCGTACCATTTACAGTTGAGGTCGGAGCGTGCAGCATGTATGTTAGAAAGAATGTTCCGAGACTTTCTTCGCTCCCAATGGTGAAAGTCAAAACGGTATATCAGCAGGAATAAAAAAATCCACTTCATGGTGCAGTGTAGACGTACGGGATATCTAAATCCAAAGTACCACTTGATTTTTGAGATGACACTTAATATGATGTCTCCCACCGTAAGCCAAATAACTATAAATAGACTAGCCACTGATGCCCATTCAGAATTACAATCCGAACCGACTCTTTAGCGTACAGATTGCAGTAAGTCTTTTTGATTTTATAACTACATATCAACAAAGTCTCTTATTAGTTTTATTTATTATTTCATTTTATTTATTCCTGGCTACTATATTTCAGTCTTTGAATAAAGTTTACTAGTTGTACATAGTACAAATTACAATACATTTTAAGAAATTTCGTTGTTCAGTGACATAAAGAAACAAAAGTGCTAACTGTTTTTAGGATACCTCAATTTTGCATAAAAATGTCAAATTGCCATATGATGTCTAACGGACACCTATTTTAGTAGATTTCATTCCAGACTTGGAAATATTATTAAAATTCCGATTCTACCCTGTCGTATTTTTAACGGATATCAAACAACATTTTTTGCAAATTAAGGTCAATCCCATTCACAAGATTACTTTGGCGCTTTCATCCCACCGAACTGATCCAGGAGTATCGGTTGAACACCATTAGCTTCATTACCTTTGGAGTAAGTTCAAATCCCTATTTAGCGATCAGAACCCTTAGGGAATTAGCAATTCGAGAAAGTAAAAAATCCTAAGCTGATTTCGCACTTTGATTCAACAAATTGTCAAATTCCCGTGACGATCCAACTTCCATTAATGTTTTGGGACTACATTTTCATCCTCCGTCCGATACCTTCGCTTATTCATGTTCTCCTTCTAACAGACCTTGCACCAAACGAAATATTCTTTCCGAAATTGCAAAAATCTGGGATCCGTTAGGTTTTTTAATACCAGTTTCATTCTTCGCTAAAGTAATAATGCAAAAGCTTTGGTTATGCAATGTAGATTGGGACGAAATCCCTCCAGATTCAATTGTAAAAATTTGGAATCAATTTTCTAATCAATTAACTACTCTTTCGAATATTTGTATCCCTAGATATATATTTTCAAGTAACCTTCAGCGATGTCAACTATTCGGTTTTTGTGACTCCTCAGAGCTTGGTTACGCTTGTTGTGTATAACTTCGTGTCGAACTCCCAAAAAACGTCATAAAGTCAGTCTTAGTTGTCGGCAAATCAAGAGTAGCTCCCCTTGATACAAAATCAATCCCTCCTCTAAAGCTACTAGGAGCCACCCTTTTAGCAGATACGTTAGATTTAGTAATTCGTAACCATTCTTCGTTAGTCGTCATAGATGATATTTTTGCATTTTGTGATTCACAGGTTTCATTCACATCCTCTCCACATAAATGGAAGAGTTTTGTAGCAAATCGTGTCAGCCATATACTAAAAGTTATTCCGAATGTACCTTGGTATCATATACCGTCTCTCGAGAACCCTGCAGGTTGCGCTAGCAGAGGTTTAATGCCAACAAATCTGGTCAATCGCCCCCTTTGGTTCCGTGGTCCATACTGGATAACTTTGCCTACCACCAAATGGAAAATCAAAAGGTTTATCAATGAAAGTTCTGATGTCAGGCTAGATGATGTCGTTAAGGAAAAAAAGTCAAATAATACAGTGGTTCTTACAGCCGAAATTCAAACAGAAGGCTTTTTCCATCGATTAGTAAATGTCTTATCCAGTTTAAATACGATTCAAAAAAATATTTGTCGTCTTATCCGCGTAATTCGTGTCAGAAGCGATACAATAAATTCCATTTCAGATCCCTTTGCAGCCTTTGAACTACACAGAGCATTATTAACTCTGGTGAAAATATTACAGAAATAGTTTTCAGATATAATTTTGAAAATCAAGACCAATCAATTATTGCCTAAGCCGTTACGGAAGCTATCGCTCTTTTTAGACGAGTCCGGTTTTAGAGTGTGCGGACGTCTAAGGAATTCTGAGCTTTCCTTCGATGCAAAACATCCTGTATTGCTGCCTAAAAATCATAGATTAACAGACCTTATCATTGAGCAAACACATAGGAAAGCTTTCTGAAATTAGTATTTTGGTTTTGTTTTTCTTACCAATTCTATGAATTTATTTCTGTATGATTATAATTATATACGTTTTCCTTCGCTGGTAATTCCCTCATTAATTCATAGCGGTTTTCCTTCCCGTTTGCAGATAAACCTCAAGTTATCCATTTTTCTACCTTTCACTTTGTGATTTACGTGTACTTTATTATATTCGGTGAATAAATATCATTCCTTAATTTATTTTTAGCATTGATTATTCACTTCGTGTTATCAATGAAATACTTGACTTTCGTATTATTTTCATTTTTGACGAGTTAATGGCCTGATTTTATTGTTCCGTAAACTAGTAAAATAATAGACTGATGGTCAGTAATATCAGTCTCATAGACCAAACAAGTGTAGGCAAAATTAATAAAGTTTCTTTATGAAGCAGTGGTCAATGCAGGTTCCACTAGCAGGTCGTTTTTTGTATTTATGTAAGACGAAATAGCCAATAGTGAATAAGATATTTATGTATGCTTTCGCAATTTTAGTTTCCTTTAAAATATTTATGTTGATGTCCTGTATAAAAATATGACTAGTACGTATTCATTGTTATTTAAGACGTTGTCTAGGTTTCTTTTGAATCCATGAGGACCTGAAGATGGTGGGCGATAGACACAAGAAGTGTCGGTTTTGTAATTTTGAGTTTTTAATACTATATTAATGCATTTGAGTTCATCATCAATAGTGAAAATATTGAAGCTATAATGAAGATTATTTCTTGTATCCACTATCACTCAATCACTTTGGTTGCAGTTAATAAAGTCAGTATCGCTTTGTATTCGATTCAAAAGTGATTTGATGTTTATTACTACATTTTGAACAATATCTATATTAATACATTGAATTTGAAATTTATTAATACCTTCGTTTGCCATTAGTGATGATAAAAGTAGTAAGTGAAAAAATAAACACTTAAAATGGTATTTTTGATTTATGCTTCTGGACATCTTTATCTAACGGGGAATGATTAATACTGTAGTTTTTGTTATATTTATGATTAGAATATCTGCAGTTGCAAAATAATTCATTAATTTCATTTTGGCTATCTTGATGTTCTGGCATTTTCTTTTTAATTAGTCGAAGCGTAATCTTTTGCATTGGAATATAATGTTGATTTCGTAGACTACCAGCCAAGATCAGGTCTAACTCTTCTCATTGATTAGGTCGTCTTGAGCGTCTGTAATGACTGATTTTGATCTTGGGGTTGAACGTAACGGGCTCCGTGATTTTATGCAGATTTCTCAATTTATTCTCTAGTATAGTTTTCAGCGGACAATGGTTTTATTTTTTTAGTTTGATTGTGATCAGTCTACGTTTTGAATGGTTATTACCATACAACAGACCGAATTAACTCCGCACATGCTTTGGGTTGATTGAAAAATCGTGTAAGTACTATGTTAAATCAATGAGAAATCTACATTTAGTTTGCTTCAAGTACAACAACAGCAGTTAGTTGAGTGAGAAGATCATAATCCTGGTCAAATATTACAGCTAACCGGCCGAGAACGGTAGCCGTTGGGACCAACGTGTTTCGTTCTATAGCACACTGTCTTTACCACAGGTAACTCAAAGAAGACATTTTTACTCCAGAATCGTAAAAAAACTGTCCTACCAAAGTGGAGTCTTCATCTGCCCCAGAATACATTTTTCACATGATGCCTAATGTCTAGTCTGACTGAAGCATTACTGGAAAGTCATTTGATTGTTCTTTACATATAAAATTTTATTTATGACGTAATAAAAAACGGAATCGTGTTTTGATAAGCTAATATATGATTAATAATTGGTATTCATCTCCTTGTATTACGTTCGTACACATATTTATCGATGCAAGAAGTACGTCTCTCAGTTTTATTGTTTGTTTACTTTGAATAAGGTAATGTGATGTGCATATAACATTAACGAAACTGAGTCACAGGTGGACGCCAATCTAAGCTGAAATGGCATCATAAATTGATGGTAGATTATTACTACAAAGTTTAGTTCCTACGAGTACGAGAAGCAAGTCATATACAGGGAGTTCATTTGAAAACTTCCCACCACGGATTTATCGAAAATTAATTTATTAATTATTTAAAATATTAAATACGCGGAGGCACATCAAAAGATTTGTCAAGAGGGACAACTTCTTAACCAAAAACTACTTCACCCCCTTTCACCCAGAGTCATCGCCTTAAAAATTTCAAGTGACAAGAGGAGTATAAGCTTGTTTGGAAGGTCTTTGGATTTCCTTCATTTTGACGTTTGATGTTTCAAAATCGGTCGATTCGTTTTCAAGAAAATTAGCAAAATCTGTATGTATCTTAATTTGTTCAGATAGAAAACAAAAGATAAATAAGGATTCTTCTAATTTTCTCGAAAATTAATAGACCAATTTTGAAAGATCAAACGTCAAAATAAATGACGTCGAAATACCTTTCAAAGAAGCTATTACTCGATACCCCTTGTCATTTAAATTTTTTAAGGGGGTGACCCTGGGAAGCAGAGGGTGAAGTAGCTTCAGGTTTAAACGTTGTCCCCTTTGATAAATCTTTTGACGTGTCTCAGCGTTTTTTCTTTTAATCAGTGGTTTTCGATAAATCCGTGGTGGGAAGTTTTCATGTTTAATGTTACTACAGTTCTATATCTCATACTATGGATGTATCGTCAGTATGTGTGAATATGTAACTGGTGCATGATATAACGTCTTTGACCGACACCGGAGATGTATTTATAACCTTTTACCCTGGAGATCTGGGGAATGTAGATCGGATTCAGTGAGCACGCCTGTGTCCGCCAAAAACATGGGTTCAAGCAGTCGTCGTGATTTGTACCGAACTGAACCAACGCTTTTAATTCAGTTAAATTAATTAGTACCACCGAGATCAGATTTTTTTAATAATAGAAGCCCTAACACTAATACCGAAGTTGCAGCATTTACAACGCCCACTACCCGTCTAAAACATCAGCACAGAAAGTTGGGGCGATATTTCTTTGCTTTTCGCACATAACTCCAAAATATGTAAGTCGATTGCCATCTGACCCATATCTCATACATTTTTTTATTATTTAGAACGAATTGTCCAATTTAGGCTTATTGTTAAAAAATTGCAGACAATGAAAATTTTCTAAAACTATTGTTTTCTGCCTATACATATGAAAAAGGAAATTTGTAGCATTTTAGGCTCACTATGATGATCCGGAGGGAATATGTCGAATTAACACTATCAAGTCTAAATTCTTCAACAACAGTAATTTGGTTAAAAAAGGAAACGGGTCACTACTCGATTTTAATTTTCCATTATTACGTTACGTTGTGACTTCTAATAACACGATGAAACATATCATGCAAAACCATTTTGGGTTGCTGCCATTTTGCACTTAAATTCATTAAGTCCCATCGTGTCACATAACATGACTGAATGATATTTCCCCACACAAAAGGTTTTTTTAACGTTTACCGCTTAAAAGGTTACAAATGATGCTATTTCTAATTTACAGTGATTGAACCTCAGAAATTTTATATAAAAAGATCATGTATGACATACTTTATTGTTGGAGACGTAGCTGATTTTATTTTAACACCAACTGGTGTATCTAACCATAAATTTTCTGTAATATGGTAGCTTGCTTGACAAGTAACACTGAAATGATATTGAGTGAGGTGATGCAATGGTTTTAAATCATTATTATACGCATATAATTATGAGGTCACCATCAGATATTTTGCCATTCCATTTCTTTTTTCCTTACCTTATCCAACATTTACCCGAAGTCACTCCAAAGCACTTATTGTTTGTCGCCCATTAACCTTTTTGCATAATATCGCTTTCCACTGTGCGGATACAACACGCCTTTTTAAAAGGAATATAGCGTCGTCCGCTTTTGTTGGTAATGGCATTGACGATCAATTGGTCAGATCATAATTACAGTATCGTTCTCAAATTAAAAATACTATAGTTCTAGTCATCGTACTTGGCGGTTACGTCATCAACGCCATATGAAATAAGTAAACAGATCGAGTCTTCGTACCATGGGCGCAAAATAATCTTCAGCGCATCTGCTACTCTCCCCATTGTACAATTTTATATTGAAGATTGATAACAGGACAACTCGAATTGCATGCCGATGTCAAGTAAGTTGTTACTCTGACAAATATGATTTAAGGTCACTCATACATAACGACAAAGTTTTCGAGGCGGAGACTCACAACGTATGTCTTTGAGCTTATCGGCGGAGACTCACAACGTATGTCTTTGAGCTTATCGAACAAACGTTCACACACAGGGGTCGGTTGCATGTGTATGTTTGAGGGAGATGGACATATATAAAGCGATACTGGTAGTCTTACTTTGACCCGCTAAGAACGGTGACTACGAGTACAACTATACATCCGTTTCCTTATATAGGTGCAGATACGATTCCACATAGGGTTCACTTATGCGATAGCACTATTTTGTTTTTTTAATTATGGTTTTTCTACTTTTCTTAAATCAGTGCATTTTTATTTTTCCCTTTTCCACCTTCTTTTACAAGAATGCACATTTTTGTATGTTGCATCCCTTTTTGGTTTTAACTGTTTTTTTTTTCGTTTATTATCTGCTTTAATAAATTTATACTTTTTTAAGTCCTTATTTGCGTTAATTATTTTAAGTTCGTTTTGTTACAACTCACCGCTTTTAAATATCAAAGATGCTTACCAGTATCCTTTATCCATCCACACTGCATCTCCATCTTAGTCGGACCAGCATGTTGATATGAAATGATAATTTAAAGACACATAAATAACAGGTAAATAAAAATAGATATGATAAAATTTGCATAAAAACATTCATATGATATGACAGAGATCATCACACACGAATTCCTCCAATGAGAAAAAAGATTTTTTAAGGAGGAACGCTTTAATTTTGTTACAGAAAATGTTAACGTCCAATGATTTTACAACACGTGGCAACTTATTAAAGAACTTGATTCCATAAAAGTTGGTACCGTTTCGGCTTCTGTGTAGCCGATGGTGCTGTGCACATATATTATTTTTATTTTGAGTGCCATACCGATGTATTTGACCATGGGCATTAGAGACAGTAACATTCTTTCTCATGTATAACAGACAATTCAGGATGTAGCTACATGGTAGAGTTAAAATGTTTAATTTGACAAATTCGTATTTACACGGATCTCTGTACTTTAGGTCAGATGTGTAGCGTATGCATTGCGTTTGCACGGGATAAATCTTCGTATGTGGGGGAGTGTCTCCATATTAAAACCCATAAGTCATTTTTGAATGAACATAATAGCTTGTAATTAAGATTCTATAAGATTCTTGGTCCTTCAGGATAGGAATGAGGTATATTATTTTGGTTATTTATAACACTATCAGCATCAACTGAACTCCCCAGGTTAGGGTACTGTCAATATGAAAACCTAAGAGTTTTACTGAAGATGAAGTTGCTAGTTAATGGTGTCGTCAACTGAGAGTTACTCTTGTGCATATTTAGAGTTAACAAATTCGCTGCAAACCAATGAGCAATGTTAGATCTGCATAGCAGACTTTCTCGAGCAAGAACATGGGGAGAGGTGGTGGTGGAAGTAGTTGTATCATCAACGTACAAGTATAATTTATTATCAAAAGATGAAGGGATGCTATTGGTGATGTCATTGACATACAATAAATAGAAAAGGGGACCCAAAACCGAGTGGCTTAATTCCTACCGGCTAAATGTTGTATAAGGCTAGTTTTTATTTTAAGATAATATGTTGGACGCAATTGACGCTATTGTAGATCTATTTTTCCTAAAGCCATATTGGCTATTGTTTAATAGTTTGTTCGAGTCAAGGTGGTTACTTAGCTGATCCTTCATTAGAATTTCAAAGCATTTTGCGAAATACGATATCAAGGAAATCGGGTGACAATTTGCAATTTCGTCTTTTTAGCCCTCCTTAAAAATTGGAAGATGTCTTCAGAACATCAGGGAAAATGCCATTCTGAATACACTGATTAAAGAGTTTTGTAAGAGGGATGATGATCAAATTAATTATTGTTTTCAAGATTCCAGCAGTAAAGCCATGAATGTCTGTACTTTTAGAGTTTTTCAGCGAGTTGATAGCGGATCCCGCTTGATTGTATGAAACTTCTTTAAATGAAAATTTATTGACTATATCGTTGTTCGTTAAGTATTTCAAAAGGTTTAAGTTAATTATTGGAAATCTATCAACTAGTTGTTGGGCTACATTTGTAAAATGGAAATTGAAATTCTCAGCGTTCAATAAATTACTTTGGTCATGAGCATCTTTCTTTGATTCAATAACGGCCTGGCGATATGTTGACCTGAATCTATTAACCTCGCTCTTTGTGACAATAAAGCTCTATCAACAATCTCAAAGGATATCATGTTATGGAGCGTATTATTGAACCACTGATTTTGGGACTGCTTTCCGGTTGTCGTGGAATACACGAGATTTTTATGGTAAGCAATAAACCACCTCCCTTTTGATCATTATATTGCAGCCTATCATGCTATCAATAATATGATAAGCAAGAAAACAACTTTCTTGACCCCCGCATGGCGAACTTTCAATTATGGTGAATGTCTATACAGATACGCATTAGATAAGCAAGTAATCGCATAAAATTCATTTTTTATCTCTCTCTCACTCTCTTTCTCTATGTATATATCTTGTCCGTTCAAAACTATCAGATTTGAGTAATTTATATAAGCGAATATAGAAGTTTAGGTTAAGAGATCTTTCTAATAAGGATTCTAATGAAATTTTTCTTTCATGGTGAATGCGTTGTCACATACGACACAGTGTAAAGCTAGACTAGAATATCAACTATTCTTCTTAATGAAATTCTTCAATGAGCGATAAAATAATCCAAATAATTCTCATGTACACAATTTATTGATTACAAAATTAGGTCCAATCATTGACAACGAGAAAAAAGGTAGTGTAATTTGAATGCAAAAGTTTAGGTCCATAGACTAGGGGGCTTTTATGCGAATGTCATAGAAAGTATGTCCTTCTAGTGGTATTTAAAACAGAAAGAGCCAGGCATTGTGACTCAGGGCAGCATACAAATTCTGAGCAAGTGCTCAGCTCTATCAAAAACAAATTGACTGAAGGCCTGTTATTATGTTCCGTCCTCGTCGAGGTAATTATTTAGAATACATATCGTAGTAGTCTCGTAGTAGTACACAATTTCAAAGCGCGCACGCAGAGAAGGAAAGCGGAACCGCGCCCCTTCCCTCTACCTTTCTCGCATCTGGGCGCCTTTAAACCTTCATTTACCTCAAAGCCAAGTTGTTGCAACAATTGGGTGACACAAATAAATACTTTGGACAGATTATCTGGGCGTAAACTACGGTAAAACTGAAGTGGTTGCCACATGAGTTACCCTGAGACCTTCAAAAACTGAGAAGTCCCAATTTCAGTATTATTCAACCCAATCCGTATGTTGTCTGTTTCAATTAGTTTGCACACTCTGACCTGAGGTTAGAGCTAGCAGTGTTGCTGATTTCCTCATCCAAATATCTACAGAGCTTACCAGCAACCCATTTAGTTGGTTGAGAACAACCACAGTATCTATATTTCAGTTGAGATGGCCCCAGCCTGTGAATGTCCTTCAAAAACCATCTTATGTCTCAATTCTTAGTAACATTTTGTTTTTTTGTTAGTGACTAACTGGACATGTCCCAATCTTGGAGCGATATCTTTATTTGTCAAAAAAATATAGCGTGTTAAGCTAATTGACAGGAATGTATGTATGTAGACGTATCAATCTCCGATAACAACACTACCAAATCCTAGAAAAAAAAACAAGGTTTTAGAGAAACATATTTCCCACTACTAATGGTAAATAATGAAAACGAAAAACCAATATGATATAATGTAATTAGAAATTATATTCTGTCAATTCCATTGTCTCTTCATGTGAACTTCATATTTGGAAATGTTTTATTATTGCACCACAAAATTTCATTTAATAACGTGACGGCCCCATCTCATAAGGTATTCAATAATATCTAGCCTAGGAGGTAGTAATTAAGAACAGTTTTGGAATATTAAGAAGGTTCTCACGTAGTTTTTACTTATGTACATAGATAATCGCTTAAATGTGTCCCCAAGGTTTTGGAGACTACAAGCATAGACATTTTGTTACTGCATTTTGGAATTTTAGCTCCACACTTTGCAGAGCATTTTCTAAATATTTTTTTATGTAAGGGTTTTGATAGCAAATTGCTATTTTGACTTACTAACATCATCATTCCGCCCATATACCAAACAAATTCCTTTATCCGGTAATATAGCTTTCCATACAATGTGTAGCCGAGTTGGTAGCTTTATTAAGTATTCTATTTTGTTTCAGTTTCTTGTTATTCTGTGTAACAGTATCTAATGAAGTAAAAGTTTGTGAGTGTTTTTCTACCTGATGATAATATATCTGCCCTGATGCCTGATGCCTTTTAGTCCATATATTACATCACAAGGCCACAAAATGGATTAAGAAGGATGCAAAATTAATTAAACGATTTGGGTTCTGGGCTACCCAGTCACTTAGACCTGAATACTCAAAATGCAAACTCTCACCAGAAATACCAGTTCTGTACAAGTTGCCTGTCAAAGGCGCTATATATATATGAATGATAGACCGGTCATTATAGTTATTACTTTGAATTTGAAGTTTAAAAGACGACCTAATGACAACGCGAGTATATTCCTTGCAAATACTTCATAAAGGCATTGGCAGTCAGTTATACACTAACGTTTTAACATTATGTACGAACAATTTAACTCTAAATTTTGCGATAGATTATCAAAAGTCTTTTAAAATATACTAAGGGTAAAATGATGATTCGTGAGTAACGGTCTCAGTTCCTACTGATATTTGTTCATTTACAAGATGGTTACGTGCAGATTCCTTTGGGCGATGAAGAAACACTTGAACTAGCAGTTGGTACCGTTGGTCCCGTCTCAGTAGGAACTGATACTGGTCGTCCAACGTTCCAGTTCTACTCTGGACGGAATCTATGACCAGTCTACTTGTAGCAATGGTTCTGATGAGGTCAATCATGCCGTCTTAGTGGTAGGTTTACGCATTGATTCACATATACGCCATTCGAAGGTATCCCATTCAATATTAAAGCCATGCATAACAGAAACTGGGCTTACGTATCGTGACACCGACAAACACATATGGTCACAACTATGCTCCTATCTTCATGGTGGGGCAAGAAACGAGATACGAGCGAAAAACAAAGGTAACACTGTCACCTACAAGTAGTTAGCCTACCGTGATACTACCGACCCCTATTATGGTAGAAGGAAACCACAGTCTACCGTTTAGATGTCTCATTGTCACTCTGGGATGTGTGTTCTGTTTTCATAAAATTATAAATCGCATTTTTTGTTGGTGCTGCGGCGGATGGTGAATATACTGACGATTGAACACATAATCAATTTGAGGTTAGAAAAAATCTGAATTTCAAGCAGATATTTCTCCTTTGGTACTATACCCCATTCGTAGTCCATCTACGCCCAGACAAAGCACAACATGCTCAAAAGCGAGATTGTACACGTCCATATTTTCCTGAATGGCGTTGAAATAGTCTGACAAAATAAATTATTATTTTTATAGAGATTCGCTTGAATCATCGTCCGAATGGTTAATATTAATAATTAAAGTTTGAAAATCGATCATATTGTCCAGATCTCACATCCTTGTTTTGATTGTCTCTTGAACGTGAAGGATGCAATATTTCCAATGGTTTACCGTCAATCCGTTGACAGCTTCATAAAACAAAGTTTTCACGTCAGAAAATTTGAATGTTGTTTGAAGCCACATAGTTCCTTATATTTGCCCAAATCGTTTAAATGGGATTTAAATCTCAGTGATGAGGGCCTTAAAGCGGTCTTATTTTGGTTTTTAGCCATTTCTTCAATAACAATAAGATTATATTTATATTTGTGCTGCCTGACTAGATGGATAAGTTCTGCTTTGAAACTAATGTCTTTTGATAGGCGTTATTGTTGAATTTCTGCCTTACTTGTGGACATTGTGAGTATTTTTTCTAGTTTACTAGTGTGGTATGCAGCATTATCAAGCACAATGATGGTAATGTCGTCAAGCTTTGGGAGCGTTTTGGTTTCAAATGTACCAGATATACCTAAGTTTAGTGTAGCTAGGTTTTCAGCGTGGGCTCATAGATTCAACGTATTTGACACCATTTTTGCAACACAAATGACGAATTGGTTAGATACACGTACATGACGGTTTCTTTAGGCCAGTGGTGGTCCATCTAAGAAGGCTTGCCAGGCCATACTTTATTTTTTGTTTGTCTTGCATTTATCCAGGTTTCATCCAAGTAATAAATTTTCCTGTCCTGGTCGCGGTAATTCTTTATTGATTTCTTCTCCGTAAACTAATCTCTTGTCTGTCCATCAAAATACCATTTCTGCCCCCTATTCTATACACAAAATGAAGTTCCTTGAATAAACTACAGAATGTCGTGCTTTTGAAAGTAGGTAAGTCATCATAACTATTAACCTCCTGTAATTCTTTGTCTATGGTGGGAAAAACTTCATGGGCTTGCCATCTGATGGCATTCCGATCAAAGTTATCAACTGTATCCAACAGCTTCGTGTAATGCAGCCTCTTGTGTAGTGGAATAATTTTTTGCTTTTCTTTATATTCTTTAACAATGTGGAACATTGTCTTTTAATATCATAAATTTCCATTTCAGGATGCTCTAAAATTTAGGATCTCATAAAGTTTAAGGACAAGTTCTTTTGCGTGAATATTCAAATGTCTCATCTTGTCACGTTTTCGGGGAGGAGACATCACTGAAGAGGAAGCATGACCGAAGGAAGCATTGGGAGAAATATTCTCAGTTTCATCTGCTGTATCCGTAGAGAACATGCTAACGTATAAACACACGCTATGTATGCACCGAATATGAACAGCAACTGCCGGCGTCGGAGTGCCGGCGATACCCCTAGCATGAGTTTTATCCTGTCGAATCTTGCACTTGTTCGTAGTTATATGGCCGAATGACCAGTAGCTGTTGCAATGCTTAGGCGGCTGCCGCTTTGCCGCGTTTAACATTTGTTGTGCCGGGACGTAAATGAACTACGATTAGGGTAATTCCGGCTATGGCGATGTGCACTCGCGAAAACTGTGATTTATGAAAATAGAAGTTATTCTCAAAACCTGTATGTCACCCCAAAGCTATATAACTTTTAGGATCCTATGCGGAATAATACACGATTTAGTTTTGTGACAAAAGCGAAAGGCATGGTCGAAGTTAAAATTTCTTCTAACCTCAAATTGCTTATTTAACCAATCAGTGTCGTCAGTCGTAACTGTACAACTCCCCTCCACATCTTGGTCCAATTAAAATAGCTTTGAATTGTTGCTTTTTGAAAAATCAAGAGCCCACGAGGCAGTAGTTGCCACAGTTTCATAGTTCGATCATTATATTTGCGGTCGAGTTGAACGTTCATTCCTAAATGACACCATTATTGTAACCATTACAACAAACTCCAAACATTTATTACCGCATTGCCTCGAGGGGAAAGATTATTACTTGACTTTTTTAAAAGGAGAGTTATGTTTTTCGCGCATGTGTATCTACACCCTATTCATCCTGCTTTGACGTCTACTGAGGTGAACAGCAGATCAGATAGTGACAGTTTTGCAACGTTGGCTATAATGAATCGGGTGTCAATCTAGCAAACGATTGTTTGTAGGGTTTTGTTTTTTGTAGGCAAATGAACTTTGACCTGGGATTAACGGATCCGGCAGAACTGTGTCCTTTGTCGATATAGGGAATTTTGAAATATTACTAGATAACCAGCTGTCATTCTACCGTGATAAATACTCGTGAAACAGGGTATATGTATGTTGACAAAAATAATCATATTTCACGGGATAGAGTGCAAACGCCTTGACGAATGTCTCTAGGTTTACCCGTCTGACACAGAAAGAGGGATATGTTTTTCACGCGTGGGTATGTATGTAAGTTATAGGGCTACCCTGTAGAAGCTAGAAAATAGAAAATGCAAGTCAGCACATCATCGCAGCGCCTAGCAACCGTTCAAATGCAACATGATATGTTTCCTGTATTACTCATGCTAACGAACATTGTACATCTATAATTAAAATTTAGTCTTAATCTAACTTTCGTACCATCCACTACTGTATTTTCGGAAATAAATATTTTTTAAAAAGGCACTTACGTTATCCCGAAATATTAGTGGCGCAGCCAGTAGGATATTTGGGGGTTGTTTACGCCTTATAAACCACCCTTCGTCGAACGATTAACCAAATACGAACCGAAAAAAAAAAGTCTCGCGAATCGGTAATTTCGGTCGGTCGCGTGGACTCAACCATCTAGAGGAATTCCAACTTGGTGGATCGAGTAGCCAAGTGAGAAGACGTCAACCAAGGGGCCAAGGGAATATTGGACCAGAGGACCAAAGGAATATTGGACCACGGCGGAATCTCTACTCTGCAGCATACAGGGCATGGAACTTCTAGTGGTATTGCTGTAAGTACCTAATGTCTTTTAGAGGACTCGAAAATATTAATTCTGATAGCAGTGATAGCGCGGAATCGGATTATGACTCACCAATAGCTACTTCGAATATTCAATTCTCAAGACCAATTTTTAGATCACCAATTCTGAATTTACCTATTATCAGTGAAAATCAATTAAGTAACGTCACAATGACTACTAGTTCAAACAATGTACCTTTCCTAAAACCAGAATACTTGCACATGATTCCTGATTTTCATGGTGAACCAGAATTATTACCCAGATTTCTTGAAATTTCAGAGAAATTAGTCACGAAATTTTATAATGCAACAAATCCAGAGGACTTTCAAAACGAATATTTGATGTCAAGTTTGCTTGCGAAAATAAAAGGTGACGCAGCACTTAATATTTCTTCGTCTCACATAAAAAACTGGCAAGATTTAAAAAATGCTCTTCTCAATGCTTATGCAGATAAGCGCGATCTTTTCACGTTGAATATAGAGATGGTAGAATTAAGGCAAAATCAAAACGAAAACCCTTTTGAATTTTATAATAGGATTCAACATCTGTTAAATTTACAAATTTCATACTCTGTATCACACTTACCAGAAAATGAAGCTATAATAGTTAATAACTATTGTAGAAATCTAGCTTTAAGAATTTTATTAAGAGGTTTGAAGGAACCTATTGGATCTTTAATGCGTACAAAAAACCCAGAAGATCTCAATCAAGCTTTGCACATGCTTACGAATGATTTTCAGTTAGAGGCAGTACAACAAAATCAATTTAAACAGAAGTTTGGTCAAAAACATCATCCGAAGGCAAATCAATTTAAGCGAAATCCTCAAAATTTCCAAAACTCACAGTTTAGACCACCCTTACCTATTACTAATTACCCTCATAACCAAAATCATCGTACCCAGAACAATGCTAGACAAACACAGCAACCTAATGTGTTTAGGCCGAATCAAAATCAATCGTTTCCTAAACCTACACCTATGTCGACATCAACTAGAAATACATTCAGACCTCAGCAAAATAAATCGTACCAAAGAAATCCAAATAACAATTATTTTGTAAATCACAACAATTCGAGACCCAATTACGTGATTGAGGAATTATTTAATATAGACCAGGAGCCACAGGTTGACTACCCAAACGAACCTGATGATTCGAATCAAGATAACGATGGAGATCAATTTTTTCGGCAAACAGCCTCGGATCAGTAATGCCTCATTATGAGCTAATGAATACAAATAGCGATAGTGAATTACCTTACATTATTTTTCCTAAGTTACATTTGAAAATATTGATAGACACAGGTAGTACCAAAAGTGTCATTCGTCCAGAAATTGCGGATAAATATTTTAAAGATTCGATTAAAAAGGATCCATTTCAAATTTCCACGGTTCATGGAAGTTCAACTGAAAATTTCAGTACTACAATACCTTCTATTGATATGTTCAACACAAAAGTGAACAATAAGTTAAAGTTTTATCTTTTCAATTTTCACAAATATTTTGATTGTTTATTAGGAGTCGATAACTTGAAACTAATGAAAGCATTTATTGACCTAGATAATGAAACATTGGTACTTCCAAATACCAGTACGAAGATACATTTTCATAAAACATTACCTAGTTCAAATTGTATTATAGTAGAACCTCGTACAGAGAAAATAATCGAGATCCAAATCTCAAATATCACAAATGGTGATGTAGTTATTCCTTATACAAGGATAAGTAATTTAGAAATACCGCAGTGTATTGCTACAGTGAAAAATGGAAAAGCCATTTGCACTATTTTGAATCCGAACGATTCATCAATAAAAATAAGTAATTTAGATCCATTGAGAGTAGATCAGTTCGCGGATTACGAGTTGGCTACTACAATCAGTGAAACTAATTTACATAATTATTGTACAGATCAAGTTAAGATCGATTTTTCTAAATTTAGAACGGAACATATGAATTTCGAAGAGAAAAATGCGATTATGAAGTTAATTAAAGATTATCCCGACATTTTTCATTTTGAAGGAGACAAATTAACATTTACTAGCAAAATTAAACATAAAATTCGAACTACAGACGAGATACCAATATATACTAAGTCATATCGATATCCAGAGATACACAGAAAAGAAATCCAAAATCAAATTCAGAAAATGCTTAACCAAAATATTATTAGACATTCAACATCAGCATATTGTGCTCCATTATGGATAGTAGAGAAGAAGTTCGATGCTAGCGGTAAAAGAAAATGGCGCGTAGTTATCGATTACAGAAAGCTCAATGAAAAAACTATTGGAGACAAATACCCCCTTCCAAATATTAATGATTTGTTAGATAAATTAGGCAAGTGCCAATACTTTACGACACTCGATTTAGCTTCCGGGTTTCACCAGATTGAAATGTCTGAAGAAGACATCGAGAAAACAGCTTTTAATGCGGAAAATGGTCATTACGAATTTTTGCGAATGCCATTTGGATTAAAGAATGCACCAGCCACTTTCCAAAGAGTTATGGATAATATTTTGCGTGGAATTCAAAACGAAAAATGTTTGGTTTACTTAGATGACATTATTATTTTTAGCACAAGTTTACAAGAACATATTGAAAGGCTAAAAGAAGTTTTCGAACGTTTAAGACAGGCAAATCTCAAAATTCAGCTGGATAAATCAGAATTCTTGAGAAAAGAAGTTGCTTATTTAGGACATGTAGTAACCAAAGACGGAGTAAAACCGAACCCAGACAAAATTTTAGCTATTCAAAAATACCCATTACCGAAAACTGCAAAACAAATTAAAGGATTTTTAGGATTATTGGGATATTATAGAAAATTTATTAAGGACTTTGCGCGATTAACAAAGCCTTTGACAAAATGCTTGAAAAAAGATGCTACTATCGATTACAAGAATCCAGAATATATTAAGTGTTTTGACACGTGTAGAAATTTATTAATGAATGAGCCAATTTTACAATATCCAAATTTTGAAGAACCATTTATTTTGACAACAGACGCTAGTAATTATGCAATTTCTGCAATTCTTAGCCAAGGAAAAATAGGATCGGATTTACCTATAGCATACGCGAGTCGAACATTAATCTCATCCGAAATTAATTATAGTACCACAGAAAAAGAACTTCTTGCTATAATATACGGTGTTAAATATTTCAGACCATACCTTTTCGGTAGAACCTTCACGATCGTTACAGATCATGCACCATTACAATATTTAATGAATCATAGATCACCAAATTCAAGACTAATCAGATGGAGATTATCTCTTGAGCAATATGAGTACAAAATTGTCTATAAAAAAGGAAAATTGAATAAAAACGCAGACGCATTGTCTAGAATTGAGCTCAATGCTAATGAAACCAAGAACGTACACGACAACCCTCCAATTTTTGATTTTATTGACCAATTCAATAGTCAATTAGCATCCACTTCCGGTGTACAAACACGTAATCAAAATTTAGATCAGAATGATAGTCAATCAATGATAGTAGAAGCCAATGATAGCCAAATCGATATAGATATTGAAGAATCAACCGATCAAACAATTCATTCTAGCCACGAACATCCAATTATAGGAATACCAATAACTGATACTCCAGTCAACTATGGTAAAAATCAGATCATTATTTCACAAGTGAATTTTTCACCTGCTGAACCTTCTATCATAAAATTATTCAAGGATAAGCAGAGAATACTTATTCAGTTTTCTAAAGACAATTATGAACAAGAAATGGTAAATTTTATTAAGGAATATGTTGCACCAAAAATTAAATATCATCTTTACTTTGAAGATCCCATTTACGAACAATTCTGTTCTGTATTACAGAAGTATTTCAAAAATTCTGAAATCAATATGACAAAGTGCACGAAGAAATTAATTGATATCACAGACGACACTGAAGTAGAATCAATTATTAGAAATCACCATGAAGGAAAAACTAATCACAGAGGTATCGAAGAAACTGAAAAGCGAATTAAGGCACATTATTATATTCCAAAATTATTCAATACTGTTAGAGATTTTATTAATCAATGCGAAACATGTCTATTTACAAAATATGACAGACATCCTCTTAAATTGCTTTATAACGTAACTCCAACAGGCACAAGGCCTTTCCAAATATTGCACATAGATAGCATAACATTAGAAAAATCTAAATTTTTGACAATTATCGATTCATTTTCGAAATATGCCCAAGCATATAGGATAAACTCAGCACAGGCTACAGAAATATCAAATAAATTGATTAAGTATTTCACACACCATTGTATACCTGGGCAAATCATATCAGATAATGGTATAGAATTTAAAAACTCAGTCATTAAAGAACTCTTAGCAATGCACAAAATCGATATTCATTTTATAAGTTCTCAACACCCTGAATCTAATGGAATGATAGAGAGATTCCATTCTACTCTAATTGAACATATTAGATTGTTAAATAACCAGGAAAAATTTAAGAGAGAACCTATAGAAATTAAAGTCAATTACGCAGTTTTAGCATATAACAATACGATTCATTCTGTTACAAATTTGAAGCCTTATGAGATTATAACAGGACATTTAGGCACTGAATCACCATTCAATCTTGATTTAGAATATCAGTTAGTGAACAATTATGTCCAAAATCACAAAGAAAAAATGAACATGTTGTATAGTAAATTAAATTCCGATTTACAGCAGAATAAGGTAAAAGTTGTTAGTAAGTTGAACGAAAATCGTGAACAATTACCATCTATTTCAGAAAAAGTATATGTTAAGAACAAACAGAAACAGAGCAAAACACGTAATAAGTATAAGCCTGAAAGTATTTCAAAAGTAGATAAAAATCTTAAAACCGCCAAAATTAAGCCAACACATGGCAATACAACTGATAAAATTCATTTGTCAAACATCAAAAGACCAAGAAATGTTTCTGAGAATAAAAAATCATTTACAGGTTCTTCACCAGCACACAAGCCATCCAAATAAAGGATATCAGCCAAAATTTGGGGATACTACCAATAAATTTAGGACCAGCTAAACTCCAAATTTCCGAGCATACCCTCGTACACTATTATAGATTAGAAGATTTATATAAGGAATATAATAAGCTAAATAACCAATACGATAATTTTAAGCTTAAGATTTATAAGTATGGTACAGATTTCGAAGATTATGATAGAATGATTAACATTACTCAACAATCTATTTTAAGAAAAATAGAAAATATTCGTATACATTATACTGCCCATAATAGATCACGTAGAGGTTTATTTAATGGAATTGGTAGTGCAGTTAGATTCATAACAGGTAATTTAGATTCACATGACGGAGAAAAAAATTACAAAATTATTAATCACATGCAGAACAATGAGAAAAGCATTGAAAATCAACTAAAATTACAGTATTCTGTGAATCACGAGCTGATCGAAAATTTTAACTTCACTCTTCAAGATATTCATCACAATGAAAATCTATTAAAGTCAAGAATACTGCAACTGAACGAAATTGCGTATGCAAACACTATGAATGAAAATATTCTTTTTGCAAAGGACATTTATCACTCATTTTTAATGCTTTACAATTTTATTCTCAGTACATTGCAAGATATTGAAAATTCTGTTACATTCTGCAAGTTAGGAGTTATGCACCCGAGTATTATCAGACCAAGCGAATTACATAAGGAACTTTTGAAATTATCTTCCTATTATAAAAATATGCTTCCTTATGATGTCAAATTCGAAAATATGTTAGATTTTGAATCACTTATAAAGGTACACTGTAAGATTGATTTCAATCAAATTATTTACTTCTTATCTATTCCAATTGACTTCAACGATACATGCACCCAATACCTACAAAATATGGGTCAGAATTCATGTCGATTTTTCCAAATTTCGAATACTTTTTGGCATCGATTGATAAAGAATCAATCAAACCTCTAAGTGGCATTTGTACCAAAAGCAATATATACCACTGTCCTCGTCAAGCCGAAGTTAGTACAAATATATCCTGTGAAGCCAACATTTTGAAAAATGGGAACGCCAACAGTTGTCATTTTACCAAAGTCAAGATTATCGAAAATCACATTGAACTTATACCAGAGATCAACCAGTACTTAGCCGTTTTTCCAATACAAGAAAAGCTAGAATTCCATTGTCAAAAGCAAATATAATTAAAGTTCTTATCAGGCATATACTTGATATCACAAGATAACTGCACAATCTTGTTTAGAAACGAAGCGATTACATTTTTGGACAAGAGTTTTGGCCAGCCGTTAGTCATGGAAACGCCAAATTTCACTTTAATTTCGGAAAATCAAAAGCCGAAGTTTGAAATCGAACTAAGGACTTTAAAAATGAAAGATATTCCAGTACAGTCATTCAACCCAATTGAATCTGAAGAAATCGATTATATCAAACCCAGTGCTTGGACTATTATCTTGTACATGTTATTCACGTCTCTGGGCATTCTACTTATTTATCGAAAGTTCAAGAAGAATAAGAATGCACATACACATCCTGCTCCAATTCCAAGGAAGTCACATACAAATGATCCAGAAGAAATCGAGCTACCTTCCAGGAAACTGAATCTTCCAGGAGAAGCTTCATTCTAGGGGTGGAGGAGTTATAGGGCTACCTTGTAGAAGCTAGAAAATAGAAAATGCAAGTCAGCACATCATCGCAGCAACCGTTCAAATGCAACATGATATGTTTCCTGTATTACTCATGCTAACGAACATTGTACATCTATAATTAAAATTTAGTCTTAATCTAACTTTCGTACCATCCACTACTGTATTTTCGGAAATAAATATTTTTTAAAAAGGCACTTACGTTATCCCGAAATATTAGTTGTATCCGAAAAAATTTATTTCTCGGGCTACTGGCTAAGCGGTTTGATGGATTTTGACATATAAGGAGTCATTGGATCTTGATAAAAAATTCGACCTCAAAATTCCTATTTTACGGGCTACAAGTTAAACCACTTGACGGATTTTGACATATGTGGTGTCCCTAGATTTTTCTTGACAGCATAATTATATCTTCTTTCTTTTCAGTTACTGGAGCTAGTCTTTTAAAGGGTGCTGTAAGAAAAGGCAAAGGCAGCGTGTTACTATTACCAGTTATAAAAGGTGGATATTTTTCTTAGAACTAGAACCGGAACTTTTTCTTTTCGCGAGTATTCCAATATCACTAAAGGTTGCAAGCAAACGATCGCAAAGCCTTGCCATTTTTGAGAATTGAGCGGCAGACATACAGACAGATCGACGGAAACGGGTGACTTGTTTTTTCGTCTTGTACTTATCATGTACCATCGAATAAACGTGATATCTTATTGCTGAAATTCACTATCAGAGTTGAACGCGTAAGGTCATTTAAAAAAAAACGATCACAGTACTTCCTTGCCTACTGGCGTGCAAAGTAAAAGAAATGCATGTTTCTAGCTGAAGTGTTTTTTAATTATTTGCTGTTTTGTTTTGTTTGCTCAACGAAACGGTGTTTCTACATGAGTAGGCTTATTCTCAATCATCCAGTATTGTGCTTTAGCCTATACGGGGGTTGCACAAGTTGGACACAACTGAACTTATTTTGTCTACACATTTCATACAGTTTCAACTCAAATCCTTACCTTTCTTCAACTTTTGAGAAGGTCTTGAAAAATGAAATAAGAACCTCTGCTATTAACAAAAGCTTAGTTTTACGTTTTGGGAGTGGGAAAAATTTTACGTGAATTCCGTTCAGCACATGCAAAGCTACTTCGCATATGAAAATAGAGAGGTGAATCTACTTACCACTGCACTTCCTTCGTTTTTCATTGAATGGATCGCCTTTTTGATTTTGGAAAAAATAAGGCAGTAACCTCGTCCTCTTCATCTTCTCTTCCAATACCTTCTTACATTCCTCGTTGCATTCATCTTACGAAATTTTGTTCATTTTCTCAGGCTGTTCAGTATGCAGTTCCATGAATCTTACAGCAAAATAGGTCCTTGCTCATTTTGTGTCACGTTGACAGTGGCCCACTAGATTGACAAATATGTACACGGCATACTATGTCTATTTAGGTATAACATGTATATTGTATGGGGGTTTGAACTCAGTTTGAACAGCAACAATTTGATATGCATTGTGGGTAAATGTACGAAATCTTGAAAACGGAGCACCAGAATTTGATGTATATCTCGAAATATGAAGAATAAGTACAGGATGTCTCACCGTATCTATATATATCGGGTGGCTCATCCATGTGTGTATGGAATATTACTCATACACAAATACATTTTGGGACAATCTATTCATGAGATGTTATACATGACAAAGTTGTGATTTTTCAAATAGAATGCCTCCAATTTTGATTAACATACTATGGGGTTTTAGTAATCAGCTACTGTGATATAATGTGTTTTGTCCAGAAAAACCTCTCACTTCGGCAACCTCTCTGTCCGCCATTTTGAAATTTGGAGTACTGAATTTTGTATCAAAAAGAACTTATACACCTCAGACTTTACTTATTTTACTTTTTCGAGTTTTAATTTTTGCTCAGACAGGGTGGTCAAAAACGCAAGTTGTAGTTTCCCTCAAAAATGCATCACCCTTTATATTTATGCAAGTTTGAATTCAAGTATTTATAAGCTTTTTTTTCGATAATAGACACACAGGGTTTTTACGGCTATTTTTCCGGTTATTAGCACGTCTTTTATGGAACGACTTGATGAAAATATCGCATCATCCTTGGAAACACATAAATTTTTGATTAGTTACATACTGTCAAAATTAGCTTTGTGAGCATTATAATAAAAACGTGTTTGAAAATGAATTTTTCTAAGGAAGAAATGATGAATATGGTGTTCGTTTTTGCGATGTCCAAAGAAATAGTTTCCTAGCATCTCGCATTTATAAGCAACAGTACCCTAATGTGCGACATCCAAGGTCAGAAATATTTTCCACACTACGAGAACGTTTTGAATCAAGTGGAGCAGTGAAATATAGTAAAAAATGTATAAATATTCCAAGTGCCACCAATGAGGCGAATCAGTTGGAGGTTCTATTAAAGTTGCAGGAAAATTCCCATTTAAGTGCACTGCAAATTGGAGCAGAAACTGATATATGCAGAACTTCGGTCCAAAGGATTATTCACAAGCATAGGTACCATCCATATCACCTATGCTTGCATCATCCTCCAGATTTCGCAGCTCGAATGGAGTTCAGTACGACTAGAATAATGCTAAATAAAGTGAGTGAAGACACTACTTTCCTAGATAAGGTTCTTTTTAGCGATGAGGCAACTTCTAACAGGCATAACGTGCGCTATTATGTGAGGGAAAACCATTACTGGATTAGGCAAATAGATTTACAATATAAATGGAACTTGAATGTTTGTGGAGGAGTTACTGGCAGACAGGTTATCGGGCCTTCCTTTCTCTACAACAGATTAACAGGTACAGGATACTTGAGTTTGTTGATGGAGCATTTGCCTTTGCTTTTGGAGGATGTCAATCTGCAAATTCGGATGCATATGTAGGTACTTCCAACATGACGGCGCACCTGCGCATTATCATAATAGTATGCGTAACTATTTGGTCACCTGGAGTGGTTGTGGTTAGATGTCGCCTTGAAAATTGGAGGTCTTCTAGCCATTTTATACTACAATGAGTTGGTTGGCTCTTGTTGTGGACTTCGTGTGTTATTTTTGCCCTCTCCATCTTCGTTTTGTTTCCTCAGGTTACACTTGCATCCAAATGTGTGGGCATGTGTATCTACTTTTGCAGTTGCATATGTGCAATCGTTTCGGGCCTGATGAAGCCAACCAGCAGAAATACGTATTGTCTATCATATTTTCTGCTCGAATCCACTTTCCTTCTTTTTGCGTGATATGCCCATTATTTTCCTATTTTTTGTTATACAGGGTGGCGGATCGAAAACGAAACAGACGCATTTACTGGCAGCTCATTTATTGTTGGACCCGCCGATTTTGTTTTCGAGGGGGACACAAGTTTGGAAAAAATCACGTCAAAACGTGCAGCCCCCTGGGCGAGGTAGACACCAACCCTAAGATCTTGAATGGAAAGGGGGGTCGAGTGATACTTTATTTTAAAGGTCTTTCAATTCCCTTTATAATGATGTAAAATACATGAGCTTCAGTTCAGTAGTTTTGAAGACTTATTGATTTAAAGCTTAAAGAAGACTTTAATAAGTACATCAGTTTAGTTTGTACTACTTTCAGAAGAAATTTGACTAAAATAATTTACTTAATAAGTAAATGCTTTTCTTCACTATGCCCATGGTTTGTTTATCATTTTGTTGTTGAAAATGGCTATTGGAGCGTTTTTTTGTGGCAAAAAAGCTATTTCTTGAAGAAAGATAAGGAAATATCTCGTACTTATTTTAAATAGGAATTTAGTACATAGTTTGCGATTGATTTCACCAAACTTTGTTGCTAAAATAACTTGTAACGCTTTATTACATAAATTAACCATGGCAGAAAGAGTTGAAATTATCGAAATATTTTTCGGAAATAATCAGTGCGCTAATAGAACACCAGAAGTATTTAATGAGCGACATGAGACGAGTAACGTGCTCGAAAATATGTTCTAGAACTTGTAGCTAAATTTCGGGAAACTGGGTCAGTCGCGAATAAAAAACGCAACATTGAAAATCCCATAACGAACGAAGCATTAGAAGTGGGGGTTTTAGGGCAAGTTTATATAGATCCCACGTTAGGTACCCGCAAATTGGAGACTGTGTGTGGTGTTAGTCGACGTACTGTCCAACGGATTCTAAAGGCCCATAGTTTTCATCCGTATAAAATTCCCCTGGTACAAGAACTTAATGAAGACGATTGTGATCGGCGATTACAATTTTGTGAAGATATGAGTGAACGAATTATAAACGATGAACATTTTCTATTCGACACTTGCTTTTCCTACGAATGTTTCTTTTTCTTGAATGGCGTAGTAAATGGCCATAACTGCCGATATTGGTCCGATTCTAATCCCAGAATTTATCATGAGGTGCATACACAGCAGCCACAAAAATTAAATGTTTGGGCTGGTATTTTTGGCGATCATTTAGTTGGTCCTTTTTTCTTACCTGGAAATTTGACCGCTCAAATGTATTTGGAATTACTGGAAGACGCCACACAGATCCTGCATTAACAGCCATAATTGAAAATCAGAATGATCGGCGGTACATTGCGAATAGGTTGATGTTCCAACAGGATGGTGCCCCACCCCATTACGCATTACGTGTTCGACAATATTTAGATCAGACGTTTCCAGGTCGATGGATTGGTAGAAGAGGTGCCATTGAATGGCCCCCAAGATCGCCAGATTTATCACCTTTGGATTTCTTTATGTGGAGTCATTTAAAAAGCAAAATCTATGCTACTCAGCCAACATCATTAGAAGACGTGCCACAAAGAATTGTGAACGAATGCCTTCAAATTGCTCCTCAAATATTGCAAAATGTGCGGAAACGTTTTGAGCAAAATCTTTATTATTGCATGGAGAGTCATGGTGGCCATTTTGAACATTTACTTGCCTAACGGGTCAGTTCATTCTTCATTTTTAAATCACTTTGCTGCCAAATGTATTAATCTTCACTAATGATGATGTATTAATTTTATTTAAGCTTTAAGTCAATAAATCTTCAAAACTACTGAGCTGAAGTACATTAATATTATATCATTATAAAGGGAATTGAAAGACATTTAAAATAAGGTATCATTCGACCCCCCTTTCCATTTAAGATTTTGGGGTGGTGCCACCCCCGCTTAGGGGGCTGCACGTGCTAACGTGATTTTTTGCCAAACTTGTGTCCCCCTCGAAAACAAAATCGACGGGTCTGAGCGTTTTTAATAAAAAAACAGAGCTGCCAGTGAAGGCGTCTGTTTCGTTTTCGATGCGCCACCCTGTATATAAAGTAGACAGACATGCCCATGTATGGGCAGCCCATACATCCGGATAGGGATGTAACCTGGGGAAACGGAGATGTAGATGTAGCAAATGATGAAGCCCACATGATAATTAAAAGTGATTGTTATTGATTACCTGGTACGCACTGTATGCACTACAGTGAATGGTAATCTTGACAACACGGCAATTTTCACTGTCCATAAAATGATACTTTAATTTCATACATCTTTAAATTACAAGTAGTTATTATATTAAATTCAAGAACTCCCTTCTTAGATAGATTGATTTGTGTTGTTTTACTATTACAATTTTGTAAATGGAAATCTGTATTTCCCCTTGTGTAATAATTTTGGTCATGAGTAATAGTCTAAATGTTGTGGCAAAAGTTGATATTTTATTTTAAATATAAAAATTGGAACTAAATAATGATATGGACTTTATTATATTCAACCACTGCAATTCTTTGGTGTAATTATTTTTATTCAATATTATTCTCATAGTTTTATTTTGTGAAGCCTGAAATGTTGAGAATACAGCTTCATTGGCAGCGAAAATGATAGTTGAACAATATAGAAAGTGCGGAGAATAATTGTATTATAAACTACTTTTTTGTTATATACTGGGTGTTCCTTAATGATATGCGAATATTTAAGGATATGAATCTACACGAAAAATTAATGTTAGCTGCTGCATAAACTATGGTCCAAAAATGTTTCCTTACAAAAACTTGGGGTGTTGAAGTTTTAGGAAAAATATGGAAATTCATCAATATTTTCAGAACCGCTTCAGATATTCCACTGATATTTGGTACGTAGTGAAAGTTAATAAAGCTGCATATTTTTCAGTGCAAAAATAATTTTCAGCTTCAACAGTGGCGTGCGTACGGGTATTGACCTCGCTTTTTTCAAGAAAGGAATGGTACGCCAATGGATTATTGCCAAACAAAAATTATTTTTTAATTACCCGTTCAATTTAAAACAAATCGTCTCTCTTGAATTGTTTTCCGCCAATGCACTATTTTTGAGTAAAAAAAATAAAAACCGTTCTATTGTCCGAGAAAATTAATGTAATAATAAATTGAAGAATGCAATTTAGCAATAAAATATCTAGTTGCTCTGAATATGTCACTGGCTTTTGACATCTGACAAGTCTCTGTTATTTAAATCTGTTCGCTGTGACACCTTTTTCATTATTTAGTTTTTACAATCTTGGTAATAATGGTGAATTATTCAAATGCAGAAATGGCGGAATGACATTACGTATATGGCCTTGCTGACGGTAATGGTGAGCAAGTCAGACGTATTTATCACCAGAGATATCCCGATCGTGCTTTACCAGATAGTCGAACCTTTTCTAATATTCATCGTCTCATCTTGTTGGAGCTGGTTCTGTTCGAAAAGGAGACCTCTAAGTGTGGGAACACCTGAAATCGAAGAAGCAGTGTTGCAAGAAGTCGAAGATCATCCTGAAACGAGTACGAGGAAGGTCGCTAGACACTTAAATATTTGCCATCAGATTGTTTGGAGAATTTTAGTGTATTTTTTGTTATATCCTTACCATATTTTAAGAGTACAGGCATTACTTCGCATTGATTTTCCAAGGCGTGTGACCTTTTGTCAGTGGTATCTTCAAAAAAATACACAAAATCCGCAATTTGAATCAATGATTCTGCTCACGGACGAAGCTAAGTTTTCTCGTAATGCCATTCAGAGTTTCCACAATAATCATTTGTGGGCAGAAGAAAATCCCTATGCCGTAACCGAAAGCATTTAGAACACAAATTTTCGGTTAACTTATGGGCACGAATTATTGGCAATCACTTTATTGACCCATTCTTCTTGCCGGGACGACTTGATGGACAGACTTACCTCAATTTTCTTCAACAACAGTTGCCTTTGCTGCTCGATGATATTCCGTTAGTAATAAGAAACATTTCGTTGGTTTTAATGTTACGCTTATGTTGTCAGTTGTTGTTGCTCATTACTCCTAATGTGTTTAATTTTTCCAATTAAATTAATAACAATTTTGCAAGTTAGACAATAGCATGGTTCTTATTTTTTTACTCAAAAATAGCGCATCGAAGGCAAGTAACTCAAGACAGATTATTTGTAATTCAAATTAAACGGGGAATTCAAGAATAATTTTTTTTGCAAAAAACCATTGTCCTACCATTTTTTTCTTAAAAAATATCGAAGTCAATACCCGTCCGCACGCCACTATTCAAGTTAAAAACTATTTTTGCATTGAAAAATATGCAACTTTATTAACTTTCACTACGTAGTAAATATCAGTCAAATATCTGAAGGGGTTCTGAAAATATTAATTAATTTCCATTTTTTCCTAAAACTTCAAGTTTTTGTAAGGAAACATTTTTGGACCCTAGTTTATAAATCAAACTAACAATAATTTTTCACATAGATTCACACCCTTAAATATTCGCATATCATTAAGGAACACCCTTTTCGACAATTTTTTAAATAGTGTAGCCAAAGTGATTCTCAAGCAAATCTCGCTCCTAATGCGATAAATGACTTAGATCTACCGCTAATATTGTCAAAACGTCAGGACCGGGACAATTTTTGTGGTGTTTGGCGTATAGGGTGCTAGGGTAGGAAATAAAAAGCAAACCCATACTAGTAATGACGTTTATTTCAAGATTACTTAAAATAATAAAAAGAATCCTAATCCAAAGTGGGATAGGTAGCTGCCGTGGCAACACCACAAGTGTTTCCGTCATTTCTCTTTATCCTTAAGTATCCATTTTCTCCCCAATACTTTCCCCAGCTGTTCTTTAGGACCCAGTAATCTTCAGTATATCCAACCACAACAACAGCATGGTTCAAATAGCGACGTTCGTTTTTGCAACCGGATTCCTTGGTTATTACTCCGATATCGTAGAATTTCAGTTTACTGGAGTCCATTCCCACAGAGACTGGTCCTATTAACGCTGTAGGAAAAAAATGATCATTCATAGTCAGTATACAGAGTTTTTCAAAAGTAAGCTAAAATACTCGATACTCAAGAAGTCATGTATGCCTTAAGCGTCTTAAATTTTTAGATACAGGATCTGAGCCCTCATAGTTTTCGATGTACTATCTGAATCTTTACGTTACCTCCACGTATATGACAAGTTTACAAGCTAAATAAGAGAAATAAACTTATAATACATACTTAGATTGCTTCGTCCGATAGGTAGTCGCGGGCTGTGGCATTCCTGACACGGCAAAGTTTACTCTATCACAGAGGCGTAACTACCGCTGTATCAGTGTTACAGGGACCTCTGCTTATAGGGGCCCCCACGTACGAAAAAAATGCGTAAACTGTTTTTCAAAAACTGAGCCAAGTTTGCAGGCCATATGCTGAATCAAAAATTCTCAAGCGCTAAACTTTATGGACCATGTCATGCATTTTTACGTTAATAAACTGCTCTCTAATCATTTTTTTTTAGAACAGTTTTCGATTTTTAGGAATAAGATGTCTTGTTTTTATGATTTTTTTCAAGAAAGTAGGAAGTAGTACATTCATAATGTGTTCCAGTTTTCTATCAGATAATACTGAACACAGGGTGATTCACAAGTCGTGACCAAAAGATGAAACATCATACACAGGACAGCATTTTAATGGGGTCTTATAAGTAACATTTTTTCCTCAAGGGCTTCATTAAAAATAAAAAACAACTTTTCTTAATATCTTCAAAACCGTCAACTGGAATGAACTAAAATTTGGTATGTGGATTTATCTAATTATTGTCCACATTCAAAGTCTTTACTCAAAACTAACGTGTACCAGTGGTGGAGATACAGGGTATTAGTGGCATTATTTTTCCAAATCAAAGTAGTACGCCACTGTTTTTTTCGAAATGCGCAATTTTTCTAATTTGTCCTTCAAGTTGCTAGAATTACTTCCGCGTTTTTTTCTTAGAGTGCACTGTTTTCGTAAGAATAAAAATAAAACAAATTAGATCATTCATGAAAATACTATTAGCTTCAAAATAAAACAGGAGGGCTTGATACCAACTTGACGTTTCTTGGTAGATAGTTTTTTAAGGTTACCTATGTGTTATACGGTTGTTACCGTTATTACTTCCGTTTTTCTTTTTGTAAAAGTCAAGGAAAATCTTCCTTTTTTAATTTTGGGTGTTTTGAAATAGCATTTAGCAATGATGAGTACGTCGATATTGTTTTTGTGTACGGGTTCTGTAGGGGCTTCTCGGGTCGGTTAACGTAGATTTCCTAAAAGACGCCAGCCTACCAAAAAGGTTTTTACGCGTTCATTTCTAAGACTTCAGCAATATGAAATTGCCAAACTTCCCGGAGCTAGAGGCCATAGTGTCCGGCGGGTCGTTTAAGAGGAACTGGAAGTGATTAATTTGGCGATGAATGATCCTAGTACACGTACAAGGCGGATTGCAGGCCAGTTACCGTGTTCCCAAGATCTTGCGTGGAGAATTTTAAATCGGTTATCTTTACATCCATGCCATCGGTAAAATGTTTGTGAGTAGTTACTGCAGATGCATGATCAAAATGCAGATTTTACTGATTTGGTTTTGTGGATAGATGAATCGCCTTTTACGAGTAGTGGAACGATTAATTCCCATGATGAACAAATTTGGCCGTTATAAAAACCCCGTCCTGTAAGAATTCTGTCGTTTCAACACATATTTTCTAGAAATGTCTGGTACGGCATTATTAATGGTCAACTGTGTATGCACGTATTGCCACAACGTTTAAATGCAAACTCATTCTTAGCTTTTCTGGAGAATTACATAGAAAATGTGTTAGATGATGTTCCGTTAGCAACAACGAGAGTACGAATTTGATATCAGCACGACAGTGCCCCACCGCATGTTCCTCGTGACATAATCGCATGGTTAAATAATCATTTTAGAAAACGACGGATTGGCATAAATGGACCCGTACATTTACCTGCGAGGTCTCTTGATTTGTACCCATTGGATTTCTTACACTTCAACATCCCGTATGAAGCCCTCGAGAAAAAAATGTTACATAGGAGACCCCCCTTAAAATGCGGTTCTGTGTATGATGTTTCATTTTTGGACTCGTGAATCACCCTGTATACGTACTCTGGACGTTCTTTTATGTACGTACATATAATGTACATTTTGGTGGAAAACGTGAGTATATCCCATGGACGTACTACGTCCAATTAAGTGCGTACATGTACCTTTTGGCGAAAAGTCTACGCACATAGTACGCCTTGTTGACGTACTGCATCCTTTTACCTACATACATAGGGCAAACGCTAGGTGCGTCAAGTACCCGTACAACCCGAGCCAACCTAAGGTAGCTGGTGGGACTGTTGCCTAGCCATAACACGATAAGGCGCCAGCACGTGATGGTGGTGGCTGAGGATCCCTTCGTTGCTGTGAGGCTCTTAGCTACCACAGGCAGACTGTACTGGAGTGCATCACTTTGGATCCTTAAGACGTTAAGGAGCTTGGACTCAAGGCCATGCTCATTTTCGCTAGAACGGCGAGGCTTGAGGTCTAAGAAATGTAGAGGTGCACAAGGGCCCATCTGAGAGGCCTATCCGCTGGCTCCTTAAGGTGGCCGGTATACCTCTGATTTCATGTTTCATTCATTCATTCATAACCTCTACATTGTAAAAACATGTACTCAGGTCGTTTGGACGGCTATTTAGTGCTTAAACCTGCGTGGTGGCTCAAATATAATAACTACGAGTATAACATTATTATAATTCGTTCGCCTGCATTTGTCATTTGTTGCGCTAAATTTGATATACTTATTTCAAAAACGGTTAGACTTGGGTACATGATGATATTATCAAATACGAGTATATTTATAATCTCGCATAGAATAAAAAAACTGAACACAAAGAGGGTGTTCTTTTTAAGATAAGCAAGCTGGTATCTACTTCCAGTACTTTGTATATATTTCAACCGAATTGCTCCCATCATACAAACCCAAACTTTTATAACTGCCATACGTCAACTTTTTGCGTAATCAATATCTGCATTTCTACGTGGAAATAACGCAAAGGTGAAATTTTTGGAAAGGGTGAAGCTGAAAACAATACGGATAGACTTCGCTGTTTTTGAGAATACCAGATTTGTCCATGAAAATAATTTTATAGGAACATTATATAGTCCGGAGCGTTTACTTACCAACAGCCTTTGCTAGAGCCTGTTCATCCCCTGCTAGGATCTCCTTGTAACCGCTGATCTTGACTCCCCCTTGCTTCTTGCATTCATGCTCTTCGCGATGAAAGGATATGAACGGGTACTCTTTATCTGTTAGCACTCCATGATCTCTTGTGTAGTTGAAAGCGTTGACCATCAACCCTTCGTAACATCCCTTGTTCATGTACTCACCTCTAGCACAGTCTAAGAGATTTTGAACACTCAAAGGTTCTAGTGTGCCATTCTTCAGGAAGACTTGACCTTCGATAGCTCCTACCTGCAAATATCAAAGTGTCGTTTGATGGACTTTGCAATGTTTATCCTAAGTTTGTCACAAACAGTGCCGTTTGATCTCGTTATGACTCATCAGTAAAACGTCCTCTGATGAATACTCGTACGCGATCAAACCTGTCCGTGGGAGACGTAGTTTGATGACTAGTAAGGGACTAACAGGCATTCATTCTGTTTTAATGGGTGACCGAGCCCTGTCAGGGAACAGTTCGACCAGCAGCTGCACTACGTAACTTGAAAAATTATGTCGGTTTTTTTTTGGACATTATATAGGTTTTTCTTGTGGCATTATGTAGATTTTCCAACATTTCTTCAATTTTTGGAACTAGCGGTTGTTCACTTCATGCTCACTTGTAGCAAGCACGGAATAAACTATATGTACACTAGCCTATTTAGTCATCAAGTTGATATTTTTTGGGTTTTTTGACGTACAGTGGTCGGTGACTTGTCGGTGACTGTTTCTTAGATCGGGACGTGTGAATTTTGTCTATGTAGGTAGCGTAGCAGATCAGATAAAATTTGTGACTGCCATACAAACAGGATTTTTATAGGTTTTTTACGTAACAGTCCTGCCGGCTTGTTGGACTAATACTAGGACATTACTTAATATGAGCATTGTCCGTATCTTTGAAATCGGGATAAAGGTCAAATAGTCACCGCCGTTGTAGGGACAACATTAAAAACCTGTTAAACTCACAACAAACAGAGGGTCTGTGGCAATTTTATTAAAATTAGCATGAAACTCCATATTTTCTTTCTGACATTACTGATATAATACACCTACTGCAAAAAGATTAGTCAACTACACTATTCACAGAAATTAAGGGAGCAGTAAAAAGTAAGTAAAGTATTTTGAAGCTTTAAGATTCTAGTTTTCAGTCATTCTGGTCGAAAAAAATTTATTGCAAAAGTTTTTCCATCTTAAATGTCCTCCACGGGCTTAAAAAATTTCTTTTTCTGTTAGGTCATTATATGGATCGGATAGCCCGTTTATTTAGCTTCAATACTACGAAATCTTTTTGAAATCTTGATTCGATCATTTGTCGCACAGATTTCTAACTTTGAATGAAAAAGAAAGACTGGAATACATCTCAAAATTTGTTTAAATCTTGACCAACCGGTCTGGAGAAACCGGACAATGGATCGATCTACCGTCATTCAGGGTTATTGCGGTATATTGAGGTATAAAAAAAACTTAAAACCATTAGCCTTCTCATTGGCCGTTGCAAAAATGCGGGAGATTTTCCAAAACAAGGCAAAAAGTAACACCTTTGACTATATTAACGTCAATAATAAATAAGCAAAAAAATCTTTAAAGATTGCAACCAAATGTTATTGGAGACTTATTCCAGTTTTTTGAAATACCATTACATTCTCTGTGTGATCACTGATTACCGAGATGTCTCTGGCCGATGACAAACGGAACCTGTTTCATTCAAAATCGGATATCTCTGCGCCAAATGATCGTATCGAGATGCTAAAAATAGAATATTGAAGCTGAATAAATGGGTTCCGAACCATATGATGTGTGAACAGGAAAAATGTTTCCCAAGCCCGTGAACTAAAAAGAGGTCAAATATTTTGCAAAACATTTTTCTTGCGGTATCCTTTAGACTTGCATGAGAACCGTTGCTCCTAAATTTTTTCGGCCAACAAACATGAAAACTAGAATATTGGAGATTCAGCAAGCTTTTATCAAAGTTTCGATACCTCCATTTTTTAACTAGAATACACCCAACCAAGGATCGCCGAAAAATTTGGATTTTTTGCTCCCTTATATTTTGAGTATTGTACGACTAAGACAGTGCAGGAACAATTACAGAATTTAACATTCTTCCTCATTGGTCAGGTTATAAGGCGAGATCACCTCTCCAAAGATGAATTGCGAAGCATTATTTGTAGAATACGGATGGGATTTGGACCGCCAACTAAAAAATGCTATAGAAACGCACGCTTTACGGTACGTATGCTTCAGCACTCATTTTCACTTTGTAAGAATTTCATCCTACTCAAGAATCAACATCTCATACGCGGTTTTATCTGGAAAGGAAATATTTTTATTATTTAATCGTTCATGCACCGTCCTTGTAGTGGTAGTCTGGTACTTTTAGTTAGTCCCGTTAACAGCAGCAGCTGCAGGGAATAAGTAGGGTTACCTGTTTAGAATTAACATGTTTCTTTAACGACTTAACTTCCACAATATTTATCCTAGGTTCAGATAAATACAATACTTTTGGTAACATCTCTGTGGACCTGATACTCTAACTAGTCTGTCCAGGTATACTTGAAGGCACCACTTCTCAGTAATCGTCTCAAGCTTATTGCACATTGAAAGGGCACTCGGTCAGTGATCTGCCTAATATGCTAATGGACTTTTAGTTCAAATTCGCGATCCCTCAGTGTTCTAGGCCTTTCAGCCGGCTGATTAGTTAACATAATAGTAGGTAACCTTTGAACTGATTGGTGCTGACATATATGTTTTCAATTCATTCTAAGGCTTACTAAGAGGGAATATCAAGAGAAATATAAAGCTTACCGCACTAAAGGCCCAACAAGCTCCGCAATCCCATTGATCCTCCACTGGGGTGACAGCGCCCTTTGCTCTCCAATCTACTTCTTTCGGTATATCTTCACTGTCATCCAGTAATGCTAAGTTATCGCCGCCATTCGGAATTTGGTCTATCTGCAAGCCCAGCATTTGACGAAATTCTTCCTCACTAAAGTCACCAAATTGGTTAATTCTCATCTTGAAGGTTTCCTCGCCATTGTTGAACCTCTGGTTGTGTTCATCTATCATTCGGAGGTTGGACTTGAAGATATCGAAACGTCTCTTTTCCTCAAGGAGACTTCTGTAGGTTTTACCATGTTGCGTCTAAGGTAAAAAGATGATTCATCAATGCCATATTGTCCTGAGTGCCACCCTATTATGAAGGTTGATCCCTAAGCCTTACGCCTCCCCAACAAAACTGCATTTAATTTATGTTTTTCATTTTCTACTAAATCCCTTCTAATGTAAAAGCTCTTGTTTGGAAGACACTCCTCTACCGCAAATATCAGCTGCTAGTTACTTGAACATTTCTTTTCTAGTGGATGTGATTTTAATTTTAAAAATATTATGTAATCGCTGAGGTGCCAGAACTCGCTAATGCGGTGGATAATTTATCAACTCAAAGCCTGCTTAGTGCATCCTTAGCTATACAGGTACGTCTGAGAGCAGTATCCTGATGAGATAATACGCCACTCATTAACTTGTCTAACGTTTGAAATAGAGTCAATTTTCTTTGAGATGCGCTAGCGTAAATACACATAGCAGCCTACAAAAGAGCATTGTGCTCGTTACGAACAGATGGTCGTCTGGCACATAAAAATGTTTTAAGGTCGTTTGAAATAATTTTGTCATGAGCGATGCCGCTCTCCAGCCCACAACTCAGTGCTTGGGGGAGGAGGATGTGGGAATAACGTTATTTTCAATGTCTATATGAACGGGAGAGGTACACGACCGAGCAGGCGTTTATATTTTGAGAGAAAAGAAAAAAAAGAAAGATAAATCCTGATGTCATGAACTCGCGATTGAAGTGCCTTCTATCACCAGACTCGACCACTACGAAAGTGAAAACAGCAAGCCGTCTGTTGGAACCTTATGCCAGTTTGCATAAATAGTTGCTACTGTCAGGAATTGAACTTGCCATCTTCAGTCTTCAAGGCATAATATTCTAAAACTGCAGCAAAATAAGCGGCTGGCTGGCTTGCAAAACCGATAATTATTTTTATATTTCGGGATGCATTACCGAGGTCACCGTTTTTGACTGCGTCTTTGCGGACTCTTTTTATTGTTACCTATGCCACACATGAGCTCTGAGTAGGCACAATATATTCAAAAAGTATTAGTAGGTATATTTTCAAGTTAGCACCCGAAACAATGAAAAAAGTTTTACGGTTTCTACAAAAATGTTGTCATTTTCTGTACTTGCTCATGAAATATAAATATTTAGAAAAATTGTTACAGCTCCATATGCGGTTATTGTTGAGGTTTGATATTCACTTCAGTTCAAGCTATGATTAAACAATGAAACGAAGATTTGCTAGAAATTAATGGCCGAAAAAGGTCAAACATAGCGTGATAAATTTTTAAGGTCCGATCTGGTTCCCTGGCGCCCTTGCGGGTGCTCATGAGATCACCCTCGCATATGAATTTCGATTCAAATCAGATATTTTCTGAAAAAACGCAGAAAGCGTACATTGACGAGTGCTGGAAACGCAGACGATTTATATATTCTAAAACTCAAGAAAATATGATGGAAAAAAGTAATGGTTTATACTTACTTTGAATTGTTGCCATTCTTCCTGATCAGAGAGGCAATAGATGGTAGGTGTCAGTGCGGTAAATATAAGTATAAAAAGCTTCATGATTCTTTTCTAGTCCCTGGTCTGAACTAAACTCAAAATCTTTTCGAATCGACTTTTTATACTGAATATATATATGTATATATATATATACTCACTTAGAGATAAGTCACCGATGTACGTGATTGATAAAATAATTGAAGGCTTCCGTGAAAACGTAGTAATGATAAAATTCAAAATCTTGTTACAATCACAATAATTCAAAGATGTATTACTGTCTTCCTAAGACACTCGAACTTATTTATTATGTCGATATGTGATTGATTGAGGTACTATACATACCTATTTCTAGGTTTTAAGGGTAAATGTACATGGACATGTATGATGACTGACGTGTGTCTAATAGGTGCCAAGCAACTTTATACTACAATGTGTAGCATATCTTTTATTGTGGACTTCGTGGGTGACTTTTATCCCTCTACATCTTCGTTTCCTCAGGTTACACCCGTATCCGGATGTATTGGCGTGTGCATCTACTATTGTAGTTGCATATGTGCATTCATTTCGGGCTTGATGAAGCCAGCCAGCAGAAATACCTATCGCTCGGGTTACCTATGCTATTTTATGCTCGAATCCACTTTCTTTCTATTCGCTGATTTTGCCCATTATTTGCATATTTTTCGTTATATACCTTTCTCCGCAAGATCATTTTGTCTTTTTTTTTCTCTTTATATATACTCGTATATATATAACAAAAAGTATTAAAATAATGGGCAAAATCTGAAAAAAGGAGGAAAGTGGAGTCGAGCAGAAAATAGGATAGGTAATCCGAGCGATACGTATTTCTGCTGGTTGGCTTCATCAGGCCCGAAGTGAATGCACATATGAAACTACAAAAGTAGATACACATGCTCATATATCCGGATACCGGTGTCACCTGAGAAAACAAAGGTGGAGAGGGAAAAAATTCACACACGAAATTCACAACAAGAGCCAACCTACACATTGTACACATTCTGGTGACCTTGGAGGCCATCGTATGTATCCACCTTTACTTATTATCCAACTGTCTAAGTAATGCCATACATCCCGTGCAAAGTGGCATGGGGCACCATCGCATTGAAAATACATGCGGCTTCGAACGTCCAAAGGTACATCCTCTAGCAGCTCATGCAAGCTGGTTTGTAGAAAAGCAAGATATGACTGACCATTCAACCGGGCGGGCAATTCATATCGTCCAGTTGATTTTTTGTTGAGTACCCCAGTCCATAAATTAAGGTCGAACTGACGTAGAAAGCTGTGTCGGCGCATAGCGTGTGGATTTGCCACGCTCCATGAATGAAAATTGTACATGTTGAATATTCCATTTCGGTTAAAGTTGGATTAATCTGTCCACAAGATGCTGTCGAAAAAAGTTTCATCCTCTTCGCACCTTCTCAACCTATTTTCATAAAACTCAACTTGTTATGCATAGTCGCTTGCGAGCAATTCTTGTACTTTTTGTACATGGTAAGGATACATGTTCTCCGAGCGTAGTATTGTGTGCACTGAAGTATGGGATATGTTTCTGCTTTGGGCAATGACTCTGGTTTTTATAGAGGGATTTCTCTCGGCTGCTTCTATTGTATCTTCTATTTTTCCTGGGCGTATTCTCCGCGCTTCTAGCTGATGATGAGTACCTAGTATGCGGCTCTCCCTTCATATACACATTATGGACGCGTAGAAAAACGCGATAGTCGGGATATACCGCCGGTTGTGTTCCACCTTTTCTAACCACATATTTCCGATACATGCAAGCAGCTGCTCGAGCATTCGTAATAAGTCGTAATAAATCGTAATAAATCGTAATAAATCGTAATAAATCGTAATAAATCGTAATAAATCGTAATAAATCGTAATAAATCGTAATAAATCGTAATAAATCGTAATAAAATAAATCGTAATAAATCGTAATAAATCGTATACAATCGTAATAAATCGTAATAAATCGTAATAAATCGTAATAAATCGTAATAAATCGTAATAAATCGGAATAATCGTAACAAATCGTAATAAATCGTAATAAATCGTAATAAATCGTAATAAATCGTAATAAATCGAATAATCTGAATAAATCCTAATAAACCGTACAAATCGTAATAAATCGTAATAAATCGTAATAATCGTAATAAATCGTAATAAATCGTAATAAATCGTAATAAATCGTAATAATCGTAATAAATCGTAATAAATCGTAATAAATCGTAATAAATCGTAATAAATCGTAATAAATCGTAATAAATCGTAATAAATCGTAATAAATCGTAATAAATCGTAATAAATCGTAATAAATCGTAATAAATCGTAATAAAATCTGAATAATCGTAATAAATCGTAATAAATCGTAATAAATCGTAATAAATCGTAATAAATCGTAATAAATCGTAATAAATCGTAATAAATCGTAATAAATTGTAATAAATCGTAATAAGTCGTAATAAATCGTAATAAATCGTAATAAATCGTAATAAATCGCAATAAATCGCAATAAATCGTGATAAATCGTAATAAATCGTAATAAATCGTAATAAATCGTAATAAATCGTAATAAATCGTAATAAATCCTAATAAATCGAAATAAATCTGAATAAATCCTAATAAACCGTAACAAATCGTAATAAATCGTAATAAATCGTAATAAATCGTAATTAATCGTAATAAATCGTAATTAATCGTAATAATAATAAATCGTAATAAATCGTAATAAATCGTAATAAATCGTAATAATTCGTAATAAATCGTAATACATCGTAATAAATCGTAATAAATCGTAATAAATCGTAATAAATCGTAATAAATCGTAATAAATCGTAATAAATCGTAATAAATCGTAATAAATCGTAATAAATCGTAATAAATCGTAATAAATCGTAATAAATCGTAATAAATCGTAATAATCGTAATTAATCGTAATAAATCGTAATAAATCGTAATAAATCGTAATAAATCGTAATAAATCGTAATAATTCGTAATAAATCGTAATACATCGTAATAAATCGTAATAAATCGTAATAAATCGTAATAAATCGTAATAAATCGTAATAAATCGTAATAAATCGTAATAAATCGTAATAAATCGTAATAAATCGTAATAAATCGTAACAAATCGTAATAAATCGTAATAAATCGTAATAAATCGTAATAAATCGTAATAAATCGTAATAAATCGTAATAAATCGTAATAAATCGTAATAAATCGTAATAATAGTAATAGTGCAGCACTATAATAGTAATGGATTTCTGCATTATCTCGTGGATAATATGACATGATTTTACTCAGATGACAAACGTTAGATACAAATTCCACGCTGGACCATTGCCTGACTTAGTAATTTCGGTCGGACCGAAGATTGAACGCTCCCGCACCTGGAATGCCGAGTTGAATGCCCAAGCCCATTAAGCTGATTTGGCTTTTTGAGTCAATGATGTATAGTATGTGTATGTGTATGCGCACGATACACCATATGCGGCAGAAAGTACGAGACCCCGCATGGTTACGGAATATCTGCAAAGAGCAACTACCAACCTAGAGGAATGGTGCGTCAAGTGGAAGATCCGTCTCAACCCTGAGAAGACCGAAGCGGTACTGTTTCGAAGAAATCGAAGATTACCTCAAACCAAAATAAAGATGACGACCACCAGAATGGAGACAGGCTGGAGAAGAGACGAAGAAGTTGAGGTCGACTGGAAGGACTCCAGCACATACCTTGGAGTCAAGATGGACCAAAAACTCACTTGGAAGAACCATGTCGAGGGCCAGGTGCAGCAAGTGAAGATGGCACGCTCCAGACTAAGACCCTTAACGGGCAGAAGAAGCAAAAGGTCTCTAAAGAATAAGACCATCATGATTCAGATGGTGCTGCTCCAAATCATGACTTACTCAGCAGTAGCTTGGGGTTACGTTTCCAAAACGATGAAGAAGAGGCTCCAAGCTCAACAAAACATAGCACTCCGTGAGGCGGTGGACGCACCGTGGTATGTACCTAACAGAGTGCTATATGACGAACTACGACAGGTACCGATCGTTATCCAGATGAAAGAGAGTGCCCGAAAGTTCTTTGAAAAGAACGAAAGACATCGAAAAGTGCTGATTAAAGACGCCTTGGATTACGGCCCAAGAACAATAAGGCGTCATAAAAGACCGAAAAGCCAGCTGCAACAAGATTAAATTTGGCCCTAGCAGCTGATGAGGCCAAAGAAAAGGGGAGAAGGCCGACAATAGTTGTACACAAAAGAGGGGAAAGAACAGCCCGTGTACAACGGGTGGACAAAAAGAAGCCTGTCGATTGAGGTGGCTAGAGTCAAGCACGGACTCGGGGATAACCTCAGGAGACGAATGACTAACAGCAAATGACTGACGACGACTAACTGACTCCAGTCGACGAGGAAAGAGCGAAGGCTCACCAACCTTAATGCGGGGCTTAGGTCAAAGCCCCCAGCGCAGGACCCCCAAGAAAGAGGCCGTCCATAACAGTAGAGAACCGACAGTTGGAAGAAACGTCCACCACGCGCTTCCGCGACGCGTGCGCGATCGAGTCAAATTTCGGGAAAAAGGGGCAAAATTGAGGAGGGGGGTTAGCTCGTTCGGCAGCACACACTCGGGGAATACGCAGCGGCCTGAACCACGCAGCGCCACGCCAGGCCTTCGGGCGGAAGAGGAGGGAGGAGCAGGTTGCTCTTCCCCCCACTCCTCAAGGGTTTGAGGTTGCCTGGAACAGGGGTGGTGGAGGGACCGCACACGGTAGGAGGGTGTGTGTGTGTGTGAGTCAATAATCCACCATTTTGGTTTTACAAAAAGTTAATACACACAGCATCACTCGCACTGCTAGGATGAATCTAACAGTACCTCATACATATGTCAAAATCCATCAAGTCGTTTGGACTGTAGCTCGTAGAATAGAATTTCTTGTTCACATGTATAGATACCCACCTGCGTCAAACGTACAGATTTTTTACGGTGAGGCACTTACCGCAGCAAGATGAAATTTTCAGGGTTTATTCTACATGGGTTGAAGTAATTTTTAAAATGAAATGTATAACGAAATACAACCTCAAAGTTTAACCATTGCTAAAACTAACCGTTTAGCTCATCTCAAAAAAAAATCACAGCCCTAAACCTAAAGGTTTAGTTGTAATTGCTATTGAAAGTTCATTATCCTGCTTTTTCCGAAATTTCACAAAATTGCAAATATCTCCTGAACTATCAAATTTCGGACCACACATAAGGAGTTCATTCGATATGTTTTGAGGCACTGTATCACCTGACTTCCGTTGATCCACCCTGCAGTCCCTGATTTTTCGAAAAGTTATAAAAGATGCTAATTATGCACGGCCTTATATTTTTTATTTAACACGGCGTAAC